CCAGCGGCAAGTGTGAGTCTCTTGGGTTCTGCGGTCGTCTACTCTCAAGCTGTCAGCTTTGGATTGAAGGGGCGAAGGGGACGTATTCACGATGGAAATAGCTTGAAATCAAATCGTGCATCTGAGGCAGTGAATAAGAGCGGACCATCTAGGAGAAGCCAGCGCCATGTTTTTCTAGGTGTGTGCCCTGAACTTTCCCTGTAACAGAGCTTGTGAATATGCATCTGTAATCATAGTATGTTCGAACGAATGACTAACGCTGCCTGCCGCCTATATATGCGTTTAATACATGCGACGTGAAATCATATTGAAAGTTCATTCACACATGATCCCCGCATGCCATTCAGATGCAATCATGTATAACATGTGTCATGTCCGGATCGCTCCCGCAGGACAAACAGCCGAGTAGATTGTGTGGAGGCTCTGCAGCAACCATGCTTCGAAATGACTGCAGCAACCCCTGCAGCCAGACATCTCGCAATGCAACGCACTCATGCCAAGCAGAACTGTCCATGGGGTTGCAACCACATAAAATGATCATGTTCGTGCAACCCTGCCTAAGTTGACAAGGAAACTTTCCAAGGATCCTGACTCTTTGCCACTTGGCAGCCCAGGCGCCCTTAGCCACATGGGGAGCCTTGCCCCACAGTCCAACCAGGAAGGCAGACATCTGCAACAGCGGGCACAAGCCTGGCACAGGAGCAGCCAGTCTCGAAAGTCCGCGTTTGAGACAAGCGCCGTTGCACTCTTCTTTTCTACACTGGATGGTTGCGATATCCATTTCGCACCGCTGTGAAACCATTGGAAACCATTGGCCGTTGGCATGTGCAAAGGAATCATGCTTCCAGGGTTTCTTAGCTGGTGCAGGATTTCGTCCGGCGCGCAGCAGGGGAAAGAAAGAGCCTGACAAAAGCAGGCATGCGACACTTTCCGTTCACACCAAAGATCCAGACATCACAGGAGCCTCAGGCCCAATGGGGGGGGCCATGCCCTTGGCTCAGGGACATGGAAGAATTGACTTTGGCTCAATTCGCAGAACATATGCAGCACTCCAATCCCAAAGCGTGCCAGATATGCAGAACTAGCCATCTGCACTTTCAAACGCTGGTTGTCCCCATCAACCGGCAACAGCCAACGCCACACCTGCAACTCCACTGGCCAATCCTGCCCGAAAGTTGAACAAATACCCAGCCAAGTGTCGGTTGTGCAAATAATACCCCATACAGCAAGCGAATAAGCAGCTGCATCTGGGCAGTCGAAGCAGCATGACATAAGCCCTTGGCCCATTGCCCGAAGCTTCGCCTGCTGTGAGGATGACGAACATCCGCAGGCCTGGGCTGGCGAACGCGCTCGTGAGCTGCAAGCAAAGTCCACAGCGCCCTTTCCAACTTTTCACAGCGGAATGGGGCAAAACAACCATTGCATACAATAGGACGCGATCACGCACGGAAGAAAGCGTCCCGCCAGCAAAACTTACGGTGGGCTGGAGTCAGAACGACCTTGGGGGGCTGGGAACCCGGATCCATTCTCTTTGGCGTGCCCATTCGCTCGCCGAACCTTGCGGCTGCGCTATAAGGTTGGCAGGTGTCTGCACCTTCAAGCCCACCATGTGGCTGACTGACCGGCACTTGGAAACCTCCTGCTCGTTCATCTGTGGCAAAAATATCATCCCTTTTCAGGCTTTTCTTCGAGACCCAGACAAAACTGTGACTGGTGCTTGTGTTGGTGGTCCTAGGGGGTGAAACCCCTCCATCTCAAACCATCCGGACACAAACTTCCTCAGGCAACAGCTCCACGGTTCACCTATCTCCGAGAGAAGTCCACCAGGGCCCATGGGAGCCAAAAGTGCATTCATTCCCATACCAAATAAACATATTCAAGGGGGGCCTAATCATTTCACACGACAAAGGATTGCCTTTTGAACAGGCCCACCAATGGGATCAAATGGGTGTCATTTTTTGCGGGGAACTTTGGGTGGTTTCAAAGGGCAACCAAAAGGGCAACCAAAAGGCAAACACCCATCTTGAGGGGTCCAGCCTAAAAAAAACGACACCCTCAGATGGACGATTTCGAGGTGTGTCGATGAATTCGGGCAACAGCTAAGACTTCTGATTCGTCGAAGCTGCTGGGGTCGGTGGAGCCCAACTGGCTGGCGCTGAAGGAGTTGGGGTCCAGAATGGCCCCGGCAAGGCCCCCCGTCTCCGCATGCATGAAGTCGCCTCACATGGACGAGCTTTCGCATGAACGCAACCATTGCCCACAAGGGTTCTCTCCATCCTTTGGCTATGGCTCAAGCATGGCTTGCAAGGTCTTTTTGCAACTTGTTGCCAGGGGGTCCCTCAAAAGGATACTTGTATTGTATCACACTGGTGAGATCTTTGAAGGGGCCGCTACTGCAAACTACCATACAAGACCGGCCGCTTGCACGAGTGAACTCGAAGAACAAACCGGGACTCCGGACACAAAAGTGGGGAGTGTTTCTCTTGGGAGGCGCACGATGGCAAGTTGAATCTCAAGCCCTTGGGCCTTCCATTGGTCCATAAAGTCACAAAAGTGACCTTCAAGAACTACGCCACTTCCTGGAAGGGCGAGGGCAATCAGCCAGCGAAAAACTCAATCCAGCTTCGTCCGGATGGTGCCATGAGCTCGAGACTGCACAGTTCTCGTTTGCAACTTGGTGCCTTGCGCCTTTGCTGGAGCAATTGGCAACCTCTGCACAAAGCTTCGTGATGGACGCTGGACACACAAAACATGAAATTGCCTTGGGCAAGGTACGTCGTTCCTGGTTGTTGCTTCACCAGCGGCCTAGCTGTTTACCAGAATCCAAGCTGAAGAAATTCTGCTAGTTAACTGTTGCACAAATACTTGGGATTATAAAAGCATTGGCAGTTTCCTTTGCTTGAGCAACCCGCCGACGCAAAATGCAAACCACATTTCGCAAACAGCTCCCCATGAAGACGTGCTCGCTTGGTCACGTACTCAGATTGGAACACACATGGCATGCAATCCCTCTAAGCAAAACCAAGGTGACCGTAGATCGTGACGTACGACTTGCCAATCCACTCACTCCGCCCCAGCACCACAAGCCAGGTTGACAAGCTGAATCGCCTTGCTAAACTAATACTTGTGACAAACCGGTTTGCAGCCTTGCGAGGCCAGCAGGTTCAATGCAGCCTAGCTCAGCAAAACGCCTTACAAAAGGCGCAGGTACGAATAGAGTTGCAAACCCACAGCTTCGAGATAGCTTCCTTTCCAACTCGCAGTCAACAGTAGGCTCCCGAGGAACGGTTGGAACCTGTCACGAAACCACACAAACGCATAGGCTGCTTCTGACACGGGAACGCCACACATGACCACCAACTTCCGATAGGGGCCCACCAAAACCGAGGCCCTGGAATTTTCGTCCGTTGCCGCCCAAACCATCAGCTGGCTGCACATTTTGCCATGGGGCAGAAGTACCAAAGCCCGATGCCCACCAGCATAAGCACTGAGTTCACAGCCTGGCCAGGCAAAGAATAGGTGAGTCATAGTCACAGCCTGGTACCAGACATATTTTACCCAAAAGAAAGAATCAGAAGGCGGCTGCATCGGTTTATGGTTGGGAGTAGCCCTACTAATCTTCATCTACTCGGGCTTTCATTGTGGCTCAAGTATCCTGGCACACGTGCCCAGATTGCAACCAGTGGCGGTAGAAAAGGCGATCCTTTGTCCAGGCCTGCTGAAATGGGGCAATGTTGGACGCAAAGCTGTTCGACTGGGTCCTGAACTCATGTTCTATGCCCTCCTGGTCAAGACATTCCGACGCCAGTTATCATGGGAGTTGTATTTGCGTTTGACTGACATTGGAACGTGGCAAAAGCCATGGGCCCTCCAGCTGTACAAGTCAAACGTCTGGGGCAATGATTCAAACGCAATGTTCAAAGGCCGCCCTTGACCAAGTCAGGTAAGTATCATGCATGGATGTGAACAATCCGGCACTCAGGCTCTCTTGATGGCCACTGCATGAGGCGCCACTGGATGTGGCCTCTTGAATGGGTGTGGTATTGTCATTGCTGATGCAGCCCTATGCACGAGTGTGCAAAAATATCTGTGTTGGCCTTGTCCTTCTCAGCACCAGCTTCCATCAAAAGACGCAGGATATTTCTGGATGGCCGTTTTCTGCGGCCTTACGAATGGGCGTCGAACCATAATTGTTGGATCGGTCCTTGTCGGCACCAACTTCTAGCAGGGGTTGCTCAGAGGTCCTTTACAGAACCATCAGGGAAACCACCAAACTTTCACCTGGGAAAAGTCACCCATGCTCGAAACTGTGGGGCCTTTGACGGAATATTGAGCAACCTGTTCTTTCTGAAACACATTTGTTGTTCAAACAGCTTTTTCAACTCATTGTCACAAAATGGAAGCCCTATAAAATGGAAGCCCACAAAATGGAAGCCCATGGGCCCTCTGTTCCCCCCCAAACCAAAAAGCCACCAGCGCACGTCGCCACCAGCGGCCTGCAGCAGCGTCACCTGCAAGGGGGCCTTCCCTGTGGCCCAGGGCAGCGGCGAGGACTCCCTCCTCCAGTCGAGTCCGTCCGTCGAAGTGTTCCCCGTGGTGGTGCCGTTGTCTGTTTCGTCTATTTTTGGTATAGTTTGTTTAGTCAGACGCACCACCGGTCACCCATTTGGGAAGGCTCTGGATCTATAGTTGTTGGTTGTTCGTCTGTTTTTGTTTGCTTGCTCATTGCTCATTTTGGTCCTTGTGCTTAGTTGTCTTCTTTTCTTTTGTCTGTTGTGTCCTTTCTGTCTTCGATTGGTGGTTAGCCTTCTTGCTTCAAGCCTTCTGGCTGTGTTTGTGATTCCCCATCTTGCGCTTTCTTTTTTCTGTCGTTCCGATGTTGATCGTCCAAGTAGTGGGGTGAAGGCTCCTGCAAATGTAGCCTTTATCTTTGTCATTGTTCAACAACCCTCAATCTAGGAGACGTTGCGTTGCATGTGCCAAAAGCCGCCCAACGTGTAGCCCTTCAGCTTCTTCTTTGTCACTGTCTTGATAACACATGCTGGTTGTTGAGTTGTCTGGGTGCTTCCGAACATGTTCTTCTCGAGTGGCTGTTTTGTACCCCTTTTGCCCTTTTCAATCAGCAAGGTGAGGGGACCCCATCTTAGAGAGCACCCAAATACTGATGAGTGTGTGTGTGTGTGGCACCCGAACAGAAGCCAGCAAACAAGGGCGGACAAACCGTCATACTATGTTCAATGCGACACCCCAAACTTGCAAAAAGGAAGTGAACAGGTGCGTCCAGCTTCTTTGAAAGATTGCAATATTCGAACATGATCAAGGTCGTAAAATGGAGTCTGCGCAATGGCTTTGCGATAGCAGCACGTAACAGTTGTGTAATGAATGCCCAGCACAAATAATAAGAGCCGATTCAACTGTGCTACCTGCCACCCTGAACCCTAAACCTTTGATTCCCGACTGAAATCACACACCCCAACAACTCAACAAAACACACCCTGCGAACATACACCACCCCCTAAAAAAAAAAACCTCTGAAAAAAATCGGCATCAACCCTGTTAACCCCCGAAATGTAACTGGTCCCTCAGTGACGGGATCGATCTCCTGGGGAGGATCTTCAGCAGCAGCAGGTTGGCACTCACCGTGCAAAAGCTGGCGAACCAGGAGGTGTAGGCTCCCGCCTCACGCCGATGCCACGGCCCAAAGCAACGACCCCTTGAAGGCTAGTTGGAGCGAGTTCGCTGAACCAACCCTTCCAGTTGCTGTTTCGCCCCCGGGCAAAATATGAGTGAATACGTCCAGTAGTGACATCGATTCCATTCAAAACCAACAATAAAAACAAAAAACGGCGCACCAGCAAAACAAGAACGCAAAACAACATATACTTTCAGCAAATGGAAGACCCTCTTTCCCTGCCACCCGAGGGGGTGACCCAAGCTCTTCCCCCCTCCGCCCTCGGCCCTCTCTCAGCCGCGCCTCCAAGCCGAGGCCCAGCTTTTGCACCATGCCCAGCGGCATCGGCACGTCCGCGCCCAACACCATGGCCGTGTTGCCCGTGGTCTCCGCCTCTCGCTTCGGGGCGCTTCGGCGCTTCGAGGCGCGGCGGGGGCGGCGGCAGGGGGGGCGCGGCAGGGGGGTGCGGCGGGGGGCGTTTCGGGGCGGGGGTTTGCCATGGCCGGCAACTCAAAATTTGGTTTTGGACGCCCTGGAAAGAAACCGATTTCTCCAGTGATGAAGTTGATCTCAAATTCCATCTCCAAAAAGAGGATTTGTTTAGTGGCCCTGGCCACTGGCGATGTCCCGTTCAAACCAACGGGGGAAATCAGATACATGTTAAGCAAATGGGAAGCCAGTTCCACTCCGGGAAGAGTAGTAGTATAGAAGCACCACAGGTGGAGCCCATGCACTTGTTCGGCCGCAACAAGAGGAACATGTGCGCTTGCGTCGCCATGGGGCTTGGACCAAGTTGACTGGCAACATGTAGCGGAACTCACGTTGTGAACCAATGAGGAGCACGTGAAAATAATGCTGCTGTCAAACTGCTCCTTCTTGCTGCCTGACCGAGAGAGAAGCAAGCCCCGTGAGGAGTGTCACGCAGGCACGTCTGCAATCTGCATGCGTCCAAACAAGGCCCTAAACACTCCTGGCAATACTTGCTAAGTTGTTGCGGAATGTGGTCACATGCTGTAGATGCTAGTGTAGAAACACGGGCTTCAATTGCCCAGAAACAACTTCATGAATGGCCTGCCTCACGAAATCAATATAAGAGCCATCCACAGTCTTGACGTGCAAGGTAGGAGCAACATTTGACCTGAGTGAGGGAGCGAGAAGCGCAAGGATCCCCCCGTTGCCAGTTGACAATCGTCTATATCACCTCGCCTCCTGAGTGGACTGGCCAAACAAGTCCAAACTGCCATTTACCACTACAATGGCCTTCCTAAAGTAACAAGTCCACGAACTTATGGAGTGACTGCTTCAGACTGCTTTAGCCATGCAGGCCTCATAAGAAACATACACTGCAAAGGATAAACAAGCTTTCTTTGGTGCGAGCTTTCATGTATACCCAGTTCCCTTCAAAACGCAACGCCCAAGTAAGAGAGGGGATGAAAGGACTAACTTGTGTCAGTTGATGCTGTACATGTTCACAAAGAGTAAGTACACAAAACAAGAAGGTCGCACGTCTGCCTACTAGAGATAAGAAACTTGCATTGCCTGTGCATGAGTCCGGGCATGGCATACTGTTGCCTCCGACCTTCCAACATGTCAGGAATCAAACAACTCACGAAAGGGTGGGAGGGCCTCAGAGAGCGCGAAGCGGCCCAGCACCAGGCCAGCCACTAGCAGTGACTGACGGTACTTGGCCAGGAAGGGCGTCAGCCAAACCATCAGCCTCGGAGCTCTCGGACCCGGCTGTGAAGAGGTTCATGATTTATGAATGCGCCACTTACCTGGGACATTGTTGTTGCATCCCCTACTTGATCTATACCTCTCACGGCCAAAACAGATCGGGCAACGCAATATGGACTGCATATTTCATCCCATGTGTGCTAGCATTATGCTCTCAAACAGTAGGAGGTCCAGAAACGGTGGCCGATCACGAGTGCAATTTGGTCATGTTGACTGCGGAATTGAATCGTAGCTTGTGCAAATGGTTCAGATAATTCAGTCTCTTTCTGCTGAACGGTCTGCAATGTCAAGCTGCATGACACGATGTGGTAGCCTTAAGCCTGCCCCATCCCTGCAAAAGCGTAGGCTGCAACACTTGTTGTTTTATCTCGGCGTTCTGCTAGTCGGTGGCTGAGATTTGCACAACTGTCAGACTGTTCAGTGCGTCCTTGGCGACAAGGCCCAAAGTCGTCCAAAACCATTCAACGGACTCTTTGGTGGTGCTTCAATGTTTTCAGAGAAAAAGCAATGACTACCTAAAGAAACCCGACCAATCCTGACCAAAACCAAATGTCTTGGGATAGCCATCATCTGTGGGCGCTCCGCATCTGCATCGGCAAAATATGCTGCCAGGCTGCATGATGACATGGCAGAGCAGCGCCTGGGATTGGTGCACCGCCCATTGGCCCATTAACCGAAGCCTCCCCAGCACCCTACCAGTTCATCAGGTAGCCTCCCACCAAGGAACATGGAACCGGGATCCCTTTTTGAAAGGAAGAGTGTCTTCCAGGACCCCCTTGTCAGGTTCCATGTCAATTGATGGGAGGGTTTGTCAGAAAGAAGAGGGGATCTTCCGCTTCCTGTCCCTTCAAATTTCAAAGGGCCCTCATTCTGATGGGCCAACCGCTGGGACCTTCGGTGTTTTGGCCGAGTCGCTGAGGCAAGCGACATGAAGAACCACAGAAGCTGGCAGTACAGTGAGCCACCCAAGCCGAACTGCTTGCCAATGCCTCAGCTGTCGCACACTGCAGGCTGATCTACCTATTGTAAGGGCCCAGCAGTTCGAATGGGGTTGGCACTGGAAAATAAAGTGCCCTCACTTGACATCAGTTGAATCCTTACTTTGCGCCGGCCCAAAACCCAGTGACTAGTTGATTCTTTCAAAACCTTCTGAACGTTTACGTTGCCCACCGAATCCACGATCGCCATGCATCCGGCTATAGTAGAACCCGGTGGAGCCCTCATTATAAAGTTGCAAGGTAGGCTCTGACTGCTCAAAAAGGTTGGCACTGTCAAAATGACTTCTTCGCGGCAGTTGGTATCTTGCGAGGCTCAGCCATGTGTGTGTGTGTTGCAATCATGGGCAAGCAAGTTTGCCCGCGTGCAAATACAACCCAGCCTCGGAAAGAACCAAACTTCATTTGGGTGAATCTCTGTAATCACCTTGACTCAAATACAAAAACGACACAAGTACTATGTACAGGAACACACAACTGCCAACTGGCAATGACACAACCAATATCCAACAAGCATTGCACCACCAACCTCTTGCTTAAGTGTCATGTAATGCTTCCCCACCCTCAGTCCCCAAGCTCTGTGCTTCAGTGTCAGATAGCAACCACGCGGCCGAAGAAGGTGTACTGAAGCAGAGTGTCATCCTTGAAAATGGTGCCACCTGTGTGCTGCCTCACGAGGCATCAGGGAGTGTGCAGCGTGCCCATGCCAGCCTGGTTAACCAAATATTCCATTGCGGGGCAAAGGCTCCCAATACAAAACCGCAGCAATCAGCATTATGTTGCCAGCCTCTTCAGTTACGTGGCATCAACCCTTGCTTTTTCAATGGCGCGTGTGCCCAAACTGCAAAGTTGAAAGAGCGGCAGATCGCCAGGGTGACAGCAATGCTTCTTGCAGGTTGTGCCGCTTGGGAATCCAAACTGACCAACATGGGGATGGCAACATGGGCTGGCCTGGCCAACTTATGTCGTGGGGGGGTGGGTGTGGCAGATGATTGCGTTCATGGGGATGCGGCCGCTTTTGGGGTGGGGCAAATGATTATGTTTATGGGGATCCGGTCGCAGTAAGAAAAAGGGCTATGGCGCGGTAGGGGTGGGGTGGGTAGGGCCTAGGGTGGGGTGGTGGGTGGGGCGGGGCCACGGACTACACTCGGGGGGCTGCGTGTTACAAGCCACTGAGTGCGCAACCGACCGCTTGGCTGAAAAGCGGGTGCATACTAGTGTATATATACACCACCAAAATCTGAGTGCACAAACGACCGCTTTAGCCAGTGCACAGACGAACCCCTGCCCCTACCATGCTACCCTTTGAGATTCGATACGCACCGGACAACAACACGTGCTCGGCACGTTGCATTCCAGCATGCAAGACATGTTGCATGCCAGCATGCAAGACATGTCAAAACATTTGAACACATACCGTGCACCATACGCAAGAAAGAAAGACACCCACCTTCCCCAACACATGTTTCCATGGCATGATCACTTCGTTCTGAGACGTGCTGAGTACCGGCAACAAACTGCAAGAAACTTCTCAATAACTACTATGCAGACTCACCGAGCAAGTGAGTTGGCACTTGGTACTGATGGTTGCAGCTTGGGCCAGTCGCCAAGAATCTGAACCGACCCCGATTACGTGCAAAGCACGCAGCACGACAACATGTCCCAAAGAAAAAGGGACGCGCTTCGGCTCTCGGTTGGCTTTCAGTAAAACCCAATGAGTTGACCGGTTGCTTCATAGCCTTGGTACCAGTCATCTATTGTCCTTCTGTGGATGGACGAAATCCTGCACCACCTACGAAACCCTGGAATGCTGATTCCCGTGTAAATACCCACCCATCGTGGTTTCCCATGGTTTCGACATGGTGCGAAATGGATTTCGCAACCATCCACCGTATTTCTGGCCACCTGTGGCCTTTCAGTGCACCATGTGGCAATGGTTCAAAAACATGTACCAAAATGGCACCATGGTAAATGGAACCAAAGACTAAAACCTAATTTTGATCCACACCCATGTTTGCGCAAACAACTCCTTCGCACGTCGAGCTGCTCGAGGCTGACCCCGGCGGCCGCAAAGGGAAGCCAGAAGCAAGCGAGGATGCGAGCGACCAGGCCGGCAGCCAACAGCGTGCTGCACACCATGGTGCCTGGGACTTGTTCCACACGGAGCCATCGGCAAAAAACACAAAGGGGCCATGGGGGGAAAAACCACCAATGGTCAATGGGCTCCGCTGGCGACCTGCAAAGGCCCCTCGCTGAGGCCATAAAACAATATGCATGTTTATCAATAATATGTAATATGTATATATAAATATATATATATATACACATACTCTTGAGTATTTATGTATTGCACTGGAAGGCCATGCGTCAGCATTCGCCCATCGCCTCGTCGTCCAACATATTGATGCTTTGGAATCAACATCTAAACATTTGACACAACTCCGTCTGCAACCCATGTTCCTTAAGCAGAATATGCTGCTCAGGCGAGACAGATAGTGACCGACGTGTTTCCGCTGCAAGTGGGCTCGAATATGAAGCCTTGAAGCCTAGACCCTTCTCAAGGAATCCGCTTCGGTGCTTGACCCTTGGATGCCGACATCCACACCTGGAACAAGCGACTTGCGGCAGACACGTGCCAGAAACTCTTCCAACTGTAGTTCAGAAGGCAAGCTTCGTTCTGGAAAAATAGTAGCGATGGATTCCCTTGAAACAAAAATACATAATACATAAATGTATACATATGTATACATATATATAAATATATATGTACAAATCATCTATATATATATATATATACATATAATGTGTATCCATGTATGTGGAAGAGAACCAGACTGGGCGCTACCATGGACTTGGGCACACCCCTCAGCCTCCCCCGCCCCTGGGCAGCTGAGACGCTGATCTTCGGGAAGAGGCTTGCGGCGGGATCCCGGGCGCCGTACCAGCAGATGGTGGCCTGGGGCCCCGCAAACCGCGAGCCAAAGCCGCGTGGGACCCCAAGAAACACACCTTCACCATGTGAAAACTAGCCATACGGATGCCATGTTCTGTCAAGAGGGATTCATTTAAAAAAAAGACCAAGAAAGATGATGAAGGTGTGTAAAACAAGCAATGGGCCATCCTGTGGGCCGAATTCTGACCTGCTTGTGAGGCAAGCAAATCAAGCTTCGACGTTGCCCAGGCGATCTTTCCTAAACGCTTGCTCTAACGGTTTTCTATAGAAATGGCCAAAACAAGACTAGCCTTCCTTGTTGAACCCAGCATCTGGTCATTGGTTGCTTCGACAGGGCAACAGCCTTGGGAAGGTCCTCAGGGTACAACCCCGTGCACTCGGAGAATCCGCCCTCCCCGGATTTCCCGTCATGGAATTGGACAGCAGGCCTCAACGATCTTCCAGCCCATGCTGATGGTTGAATAACAGAACCCTCCCTTCATTGCCAAACAAAACCAACGACATGTCCCAACGCCAAACAAAGCCAACGACACTTCCCAACGCCAACCAACCCCAACACAATTTCGCCGCAACTCTTTGGAGTTGCGACGGTCCATCTGCCGGCGACCCCTCGTTTAGAACGAGCCACGAGTGGCAGCCGGGATCTGTGCGAGAGATCGGGGCTGCAGTCCTGGCAACTCAGGCCCTCAGGTAGCTCGGTCCAAGGTGTCTCGAGGTTTGGGGTGGTTTAGAGAGAAAGACCAATTCTTGGTTGCCTTCTGCTCACCTGCTAAAAGTGACTAACCTTTAGTGGTTTAATTCGGAAAACCCATTAGTTGGCAAAAAGTTAAAAGTCCTAACATCCAAGCAAAATGCACCAAGGCATTGGCAGGAAACTGCTCGCTTACGTCCACTGCTTTAGGCTGCACCAATTCTTGGAGTCAAGTCGGAGTCTCGCATGTCCTATAAAAATGGTTCCCGTTTGCGGACGAGGCCCGTGATGGAGCATGGCCGTTGACAAAAGTCCCACGCCAAACATATATGTGCGTGTTCAGTCCGGGGGCACGAACCCCTTCATGTTGGTCAAACATGGGTTGGAACTCGAGCGCCTGTGTGGATTCCACAGGCAGAATCACTGAGATCTGTTCAAGACCCAAACCTCCACAGTCCATGAGTGTTCCAGTTCCTCTTACACAGCTCCATGCTGCAATGCGGCCCGGCAAAAAGCGCGACTGATTTGTGGCTGCGAAAAGGCCCCTGTGGATATTATGATTATGCAATCTATGTCACGCTCTGCCTGAAATTTATGTTCTGATGTGAGCTCATGCGAAAATCGATGAGAGGCGTTCCAAAAAGCTTCTGACGATCGAATGCTTGCGGTTGGCCAACTCCAATAACATCCTCTCGGCGAAATGACAGCTGATAATTGTGCTGCCCTCTGTCTGTCATGTTCAAAGTTCAAGGCCATTCGACCGGGCATGCCGGCGCGTGCAACACATGTCTACTTGTCCACACATGACTATGCCAAAATTAACTGTATAAACAACACAAAACACTCCTGTCCGACAGCGTGCGCCTCGAACCCAGTGAGACAGCCACTTAGCTTGTCATTACGTCAAACTCCTGCAAAATCGCTGGGCCCCGTTAATCAGGGAAATCCAAACAGATGTGGGAACCCCTGGTGTCAGCCATGTCTGAATACACTTCGCAAGACTCCTGCTCAACTGGTGCCAATCAATAAGACTGCTCGACACATGGGATCAGCACCTGGTAGCAGCAAACCTTGGAGGATGCTCACTCCAGAAAACAAGGGTTCTATGGACACCAAGAAAGGGCATCTGAATTTCCCTTCGGTCCTTTCCTTCCACCAGGAATTGGACCGCAGCGTTAAGTCAACTTGTTTCCATTTACCAGGGTTGAACACCCATTTTGGGGTTCCCCTATTTTTGACTCGACCCACGGCATGACAGCCATGTGGTTTGGGCGCTCGCTCGAAACCCGAAACCCGGAACCCGGAACCCGGAACCCGGAACCCTGGCGCCCGGAACCCGGGCGCCCGGGAACCCCGGCTCCTCGTCCCGGAGCAATCGGCCCAAGGTGGCGCAGAAGGTGTAGGTGCCGGAGAGCCCCAAGATCACCAGCAGGCTCACCACCCAGAGCCTCACCAGGTCTCTTTCGGGTTGGAAGCCCCGGGTTGTTGATTTTTGTTTTCTATGTTTGGCGCAAACCAAAGGCCAAAGCTTCTTTTCGGATTGGGAAGCCCCGAAACGGGTTATTGTTTTTTTGGGGAAAACCAAAGCTAGGCACGTCCGGAACCTCCGCAAGAGCGTTACATGGACGCCAAAGGTGTCTTTCATTGGCTAAAGAACCTCCGGATTTGGTAGAAGGAGCCAAGAGGTGGCCAACAAGGCTGGAGGTTTTGGGAAGAAACTCACGTTGCTTGGCATGCGGGGGAGACCTCCTGTTGGTTGGTCGGACTAAAACGAAAGCAACCATTTTAGGGGCTCCAATATTTTGAGACACAGGTGAGGATGACCACCCTTATTGTCTGTTCAGACTAAAATATGGTCTCCTCGTTCAACTTTTTCAGCTGTTGAAGAAAAGGCTCAGCACTCTGAACCCAGAACAAACCCATCAACAGGGAAAGCAGCTAAGAGCGTTCAAACTGCCCTTGGATCACCACGCATCTCAAGTGCCCAGCACAAAGGCCAATAAATGAGCAGTCAGGTTGGTGGGGTCATTGCAGCCTTTGTAGTTTTTACAGTTGTGACATAAACGCAAAGCACGCCCAGCCGTCGCCATACTGACACTGTGCAAACAAACTGCCAGGCGACAAATTGAATGTGGCATGTATTGGTCGTGAAACAATGGTTGAGGTCATTTGCTTGGTGGTTGTGGGCGGCATGATCGAAGGCTTGGGGCTATCGCACAGGCGGTTGGATGGTTTGGTTGAGTTTAAAGCCACGTAGTTTGCACTTAACAGTCTCGGAGTTTGATTGGTTCTTTCAGCAAGGGGCGCTTGCTAACTCAAAACTAGATACTGCTCTGCACGCATGTTATGGCCAGGGTACAGGGGTACCAAAAGGGACCAGACCTTGCTTTGGGTCCGTGAACGTCATCGGCCCCTCAACATATGTGCCAAAAAAGAAGCATCATGGTGTCCGCAGGAATGTAGGTGTACCCCAACTGATCCGTCTTGAAGGTCGTGTCCTCCGCAGCAATTGCCGACAGCTTGGGCTTGGTGTCAGTGCACTTTTGCAGCACGGCATCCCGGGCCAAATGGTAGAGACCTCAGTAAATTGAATGACCGGGAGGCTGCCAAAAAAAGAGAAACGTTGCGGCCGTCGCAATTATTTCACCCTGGCAGACAGCTCATGAGCTGAATCAAGTCGAACCACTACGCCCTGGGCCCTGCAAGCAACAACATCAAAGGGTTGCGACTCACTCGCAGTCCTCTGCGGGTTCCTAATCGACAGCCAATGCACGCAAATCAGAGCAGCCTCACCGCCTGAAAGGCTCCTCCAGCATATTGACAGCTGGGCAAAAGTCTATTGAAGTTGTCCGCTCGTCGACTCGTCGCATGATTCCAATAACTTGCTAGGTCCTCCAGTAGAGTGGTTAGAACAAGGGCACCATCTTTTTTCTGTAGTTTATTTTGTAGGGGGACCCTCCCCCCAAAAAAATGGTAAAAGGCACTACGGGGGGACCTAGCTTGTGTTTTGGTATGCTAATATATGCTAGTTTGGTATGGTTCACATTGACGACTCACCTGTGAACATCAGCCAGCTGAAGCCCTGTTCAGCCTCTGAGAGCCTGCCAGCTTGCTTCCTGCACTGGCTGGTGGGCTACACGTTTTGGTGGATTGACGGAGTCTGATCAATTCGTGGGGCGCCTGTCGTGCGATTGAACACTTATCTCAATACCAGCCGGGAGGCGTGTGGCACCTTCCGTGGAGGAGACATACTCGCGGATCTGGTCGGCCTTGGCGAAAAAAAGAAAGCGCTGGGCTCATTTTGCACTGCTCAAGGCGACCATCGAAGCCCTTCGTATCAACCTGAAAAGTGCTGATTGTTTGTCTGTTTTGCGGATTTTAGGTTAATTTTCAAGCAGCTGTCTCACTCCCTCGCCGCCTCACTCTTTGTTTCCTGCACCCCTCGCGAAATAGCTTTTGCACGACATTGTACATATGACTATTCATGTATGTGCATGTGTATATATATATATACATGTAGGTATACATCTAGGTAGACGTTCTCATATGAAGAATGCATCCAGGATATCTATACAACAAAGCAACAGGCATAAACATACATACAAGTATTGTCCATATATTGATATCATTTTGCTCCCTGTATAAATTTCTAGTACCCTCCCACCAACAAACGTGGAAGTGCAAAACAAAAAAAAACTTTCCAAGAGGACAGTCGTCTTTCTACTATCTACAGGGGTTTGTGCACTTCCGTGTTAGCGGGTGGGAGGGTACCTATGCCTATGCCGTCTGTGAAGCCTGCTTGGGACCCCGCCATCTCGCAGGCTCGAGGGTGCAAGGCGCAGAGCTGGGCCAAAGGGTACTGCTCTGGGCCGTCCTGCGACGGAAGAAATCTCCACTGCACCCCCCACCGTCCTGAGACCCCCCCACCCTTTTCACAACCTGACAGGGGGTTCCTTTAAAAGGAACATTTCCCCAAGGAAGCAGACGCAGCTGTATCAACCCACGGGTCAACCACGAACCTGTGATGCACGATAATTGCAAGCAGGAAGCATGCGGGCATTCTGCTCCACCACCATGCAATGCTCTCCAAACCCCCGGAAAAAGGATTACCTCACAAGACAGCTCATTTGTACACAACTCGATAAAACCACCAGCGAACATGTGCGAGACTTGCAAACTGCCGCAGCCCGGCACAACGCCGCGGGGCCCCCCGTCCTTGGGCTTGACGATGAGCCTGCCAGCACTGCCCCAGGTTGCCTTCACCTCAAGATCCGGATCTGCAGCGTATCCCGGAACAAACTCAAGCCACCTCCCCGAGAAAAGAAAACGGAATGCTCACCAAAATGAGGAAGTGGTTCAAGCAGCTTGTGGTAGGGCCTTACACCCAGAAATTCAGGGTGCTCACCAAAACGGCACCGCCCCCAGCTAGCGGTTTGTCTCGGGTTTCCACTTGTCTCACAAAGGAATGGCACCCTGTCGGCGGCTTGAGAGCAACATCCGACCCGAGTTGTTCGCTGCGTGCAGTTTCTTGTGGATCGCGAAGAAAAAATGCCCTTGGTGCTGTACCACGCATATGAATCCACTGAGCTCCTACGAGCACCTGCAAATAATGAGCAGGTGAGTGACTGGACAAGGAATAACTGTAGGGAAGAGCGTCCAGTCTGTCATGTCAACTAATCCTCGTAATCTGGATTACCGCAACTATCAAACAATTTGACAAGTTCCACACCTTTCTCGCCCAAAAAGCGTCAGCAGCCTTCAATATACTGTGAGGTGCCGTCTTGATGTCGAACTTTGCCAGTGGCGACATCATCGCGCAGGTCAGAGAGGGAGGCAGCGTCACATCCATGAGATGCCACAAATCGACCACCACATCCACCTCTCCAGCAAGCAACGTGTGTCCATTTTGCTTGCAACCGTGCAATCTAGTGGCAGGTTGATTGGTGCCTGGTGCACCTTTCTTGTTGTCTCTATCATAGCAAGCCTCGTTATGACGTCAGTGATCTGAAGTGTACGACTTGCCCATACCCAGGCACACATCACAACGAGCAACAAAACCTCACACACCCACACACGGCGCAACTTCAGACTGAAAACTCGAGGTCAGAACAACGCAAAGTCGTGCAAGCCCACCCTTGCTGCAGTGTGAATTCAAATCACGGCGGCACTTGGCCTTAGATTAGAACCGCAAAGCCTGGGCCTCTGAAAGGAACAATCAGCTTGCGATTGTTTACGACAGGTCATGGCTTAGGAACCCTTGCAAGAGTTACTACGTCACCATGCGATCTCAAGCAATCACTACACACGTTTCAGGGTATGCAGGTTCTGCATGCTGGTTTCCCTTTATGTATCCATGCGCTCACGGCCCTGCGCCAGAACATCGTGTGCAATCCCGTAGAAAGCCTGAATGCAAGTGTTGAGACACGGTATGTAGAAAGAGACGCGGTATGTAGAAACTGATTTCTTTTGCATTTCTGCGTAATGGGCCAGGCAAAATCATTGCTCTTGATCCATGTGTCCGGACAGCTTCAATTGGATTCGTGCCATCCACGGAGGGGGGGTCCAACCACTCGCTGAGGTTTTTGTGCCTCGGCTTCTCTCCAGTTTTAGGGGCCCATGTTCCTTGCTGGCGCGATAGGTAGGGAATGAGAAATGGAATGAACCCAGGCTTTGGTCCCCTTGAAGGAAACCGCCAGATATAAATATGGTTTACAAGTTATACGGGTCATTCCACGTCTCATTCCCATTTCGCAGCCGCAAGTTGCCCCACGCTCGCTCTCTTGCTTTTTGGGGCCGCGGGTTGGTACGACTTCCGTGCCAACTCTCCCGCCTCCGCGTCCAGGGTGCCGCAGGGCATCTCCAGCGTCACCAGGCCGTCCCCGGCAAAGTTCCCGGCCTCACACCAACGCGTTTTGGGCTCGGTTTTGACGCATGGGTGGCTCGTCTTTTTTGGAGGTGGTACCCATTTGTTGGTGGTGTTTAAGGGGAACCAAAAGCAAAACCCATCACGTTGGGGTCCCAAAACAAAAAGTCTCTCTCTCTCTCTCTCTGTCTCTCTCTCTCTCTCTCTCTAGCGCCATCCCGTAGGTCCCAAAGCAGGGCACTTGGCCGGCTGACAGTCTTTGGTTGCCTTGATTGGGTAAGCCTAAATGGTTTGGGTGGGTTCCTTCTGGATGCTACACGGCGTGATTATAGGGTCCCCTGAGTAAAGGGAAGTCGCAAGGAAACCGAGCCAGTTTAGGATTTGGATTTCGAGATCAGTCGCCCAGGTCGCCCAGTGGCCTCTTCGATGGACAACGGGGACCTCTTTTTTCACCGTTCCTTTTTTGTGGGGAACCCACGCGAACAGAACCGGCTGGCGAGCTGAGTCGCGGCATGTCGCGGCCTTTAGGCCCCGAGAAAGCTCAAACGCGCAAGGTGCTTGCCTGGCTGTTTGTCAGAGAGGGGTTCGAAGGGAGGTCCCTGTATGTCCCTGTCTTGAAGCTGGAAACCAAATCCCCTCCTTGACTCAGCCGGCGCCTGTTCTGTTGGGCGTGACATATGTAGCTTGCCTCTGGCGTGTGCTTGCCCGCGTGCTGTGTGTGTGTGTGTGGGTTAGCGCAACTAACCTAGCGCGAGGTTTGCTAGCGCCAGCGATTTCGCCTGCTGTACGAAAGTGCCCGAGCCGTGCTCAGCCGGGAATGAGGGAATGAACCTGAGGATTCCCTGAAAGGCAACCACGAGTTGGATGGCTTACAAGATTACAAGGGTCATTCCCGCATTCCCTGCCTACCGGTTTATCTCGGGGTCATTCCATTTCTCATTCCCTGCCGACTTCGCACCGTTCGCAAAGGGCCGTCGTCCAAAAACCCGCCCCCGGCCTTCAGGGAGCTGTTCACTGCAAAGGCAGGCCGCCAAGGCGCCTGCGAGTTCGCGAGCCCGAGTGTGCCAGGAAAATCCGTGGTTCCCAGCGCCTTTGCCGTGGGGAAGCCAAGGAAACCGTAGAAGAATGGGAAAAACGGGAACCTGCCCTGCTTGGCTGCTGATGTTGGGTAAGATGACACCTGATCAAACTGCAATGCATGGAGAGTGCGTTTGATGCATGTGTCGGAGTGCATTCTGCAAGTACTCCGTACCCCCGGTTACTATATTCACCCTTGTTGAAGAGTATTACTGTCCAGGCCAGAACCCCAAAAACAACCCCTTTTGCTTTTAGTTGACCCCATGCTAAACTTCTGACAGCCATTATTAGGGGGCACGTTCTGCAATTCCCTTCTTTTAACTGTAAAGCCAAATTGAAAATTGCAATTCTAACTTTGCCTTTTAGATTTGCATGAACAAACGACTTTGAGCAATTCCATAAAAAAGGATCCTGTCGCTGTTTGCGCCCGGCACAGGGGCCGCCTGTTAATAAATATATTTTCCCGAACACTAATATTTCTTAATAGGAGAGGGGCGTGACATTCGTAAGTATTGATCCTAATCAAGGAGAAGGGCATCGCCGTCGATGAATCTTCTTGCCATGCTGGCTTGGGTGGAGGGGGGAGGGGCATTGGAGCTTTTGTAAAGGTTCCAGCCGTATCAAAGGCTCGGATTGAAGCAAACCAATTAAACACACCAAGCAGCCATCACCCGAAGAAACAAGGCTCAGTTCTGCCACGCAAATGTACATGGGATGGGGACGGGATGTGGATGCATCACGCAAGGCACCATGCCGCTTGTTTACGAGGCTCCCTTTCAGAAAGGAGAGCAAAGCCCAGAGTCACAAGAACAAACAGACAACAACAACCAACAGAACAACGCACCAGACCAAAACAACAACACCACCACCAAACCTTGGTTGCTGTTGACCCCCCTGCAAAAAGTTCAACTTGTTTGGGGGTGACTGGAAAACCCCTTGATTTCCCCAAAAAGAATCAAAATGCCAAGGATCCGTTGCCCAATAGCAGCCAAGAAACAAACCCAAGAAAACCAACCCAACCAAGCCACAAGGCTGTCCAGAGAGGCGCCTGTGGGGTCGGGCACTTGGCGGAGGCCTTGGTTCCCAGCCAGCTGGGGTTCTCTGTCGAGGGCAGCAGCACTCGCAGCGCGTCCACCTAACGACTCAGGGCTCTCCGAGAAACGACTCGAGTCGATTTTTTTAATTATATTTTTTGAGTGGATGGCCCAGAAAAGTCCAAACTGGTTAAACATAAATGACACTGAACAACTGGGGAGAAGCTCACTAGTGTTGGCTAAAAGCTGCAGCAATTCATAAACCGAAAAGGAGGGACCACCAATTTTCATCATGGGCGAGGTTGCTTTGCGCTTTTAAAGTCACTATGCGTTGCCCAGTTTGCGAAATTGTGTAGGTGGTCCAGTGCCTGAACCCGTGTCAGGTTGGCACTTGCACCTATCAGTGTGTAGGTGGTGCAATGCTATCTGGGAGGGTCAGAGTCTGGGATGTCAGTGGGGCCAAATCTGAAGTGTTGAAGTTGCCCTGCTTGAGACACACTTGAAGCTTCATGTGACCCGCAGCACCCCATGGCATTGGCACTTTGATGCCGCCTTTGCAGTGTGTCATCCAGCTGTCACATGATCTCAAGCCAGCATCAAGCTAAGCAAAGCTCCGATCCCACAAGCGTGATCCTTAGAATTGATGCCCGCGACTAGCCTCTGACCACATAGGGAACACTTCTCTGCAAGGCTACTTGGTGCAGAGGGCCAGCACCATCCTTCACAAACCCGAAAACTAGACAAGTCCATGTGCCACCCTTGCAACCTTACATCCCAAGCCCAGTCGGGCCGACTCGGACACATCTCTGGCGACGAGGCTGCCGCCTGGTTCAGCCCGGTGAACACCAACTGCCGAAGAGTCAACTTGGCGCCCAAAGGGATCGGCAGTGTAGGCATGTTGGCCAGGCCATCCTCACGTGGCTACTTTGGGGCGCACTGAGTTGAGCTTCTTGGGGGGAAAGACGGAAAATCGCAGGGGCAACCTGCCAGGACATGGTCTCTGTCAGTCGGCCGGAGACCGAAAGGTCAAGCTTTTGGAATCCCCACTAGGTCAAACTAGCAAGGGTAAGTGAAGTGACTAAAACGTATCATAACCATTTAATGCTTTCATCGGAATTCTGAAGGATCACCAAAAAAAGCTGTTGCTATCACCACCTGGTGGGGCCCTGCTGTAACCAAACAACAAGGAGTGTCAAAGATTGTTGGCTGCTCATGCACAGCGGTGTCCAAACAGTCCTGAAGGATGGTGGTGTTGTGCGCCAGCAAGCCGTCCACAAAGTTGTCGATGTAGCTTCTGAACAAGGCAGGACAAGCTGACTGCTCAAGAGTGGCAAATCAAATCATTTTCATGTGTTAACACTATCGGCCAATGTCATCAACCTGTCATTGTGCAACTCCACTCGCGCTTGCTTTGGGTATTTTTGCTGGTGCGTGTGCGTTTATGTTCCTCTGTCCATTTATGTTGTCATCAATGCTTGACATCCCTTACTACCATGTGCTTGCAGTACTCCTGGCAGCTCCTTAGCTCCCTCTGTAAAAAGCAAATATGGATACCCCCAGCCACCATGTGGTAGCTCTCACAAAAAACAAATTTCGATACGCCCAGCTCCGTAACGGCTCCCATCCAACCACCAGCCAGCTTATTACAGCTCATGTGCCACTTGATTCAACGGCTCCTGAAGACACCGCCCAGCACCGGCGGCCAGTTGCCATAGAACTGGGGAAACTTGTTGCGCACCTGCCACGAACGCGGAAAAGCACGTGTTTTTTTTGCCTGAATAGGAGATCCCTAACTATGTGGTAGGGCTGCAAAAAGGGCTGCAAAACTGCAGCTCTGTCTGCCAGACTCTTTGCCTCTTGCTCAAATCTAGCAAAACCTAATTTTTGTAGCCGAGCAGCACACCTCTACAACAGCGGGCACCACTACCATCTGCGTGGTGGAATTTGCGTCCTTAAAATCTGATTGGACGTATGGGCCCCTTCTGCAGAACCTTCCACAAAGCTTCCGTGGTGTGAAGGGCACCTTCCGCGGGCAAGTTGTTTCCGGAAATTGAGAAAGGTAGCTTTCGCAAGGGAATTCGCGTGCACAATCTGCTAGTCATGCTTGTAAGACCAAATGTAATTCCGGAAGGAGCGAATCAACCACGTCCCGTCTGCGAGCTTCCGCGGGGAAAAGCGTTCTGAACCTTCCGCAGCTGCAATGTGGAGCTATTTCTTGTTGATATGCCCACCTCCTGGAACATCCCTGCAATGTGTCCAGTGCCTAACAACGGGGCGAAGTTGTGTAACAACGGGGCGCCCACTGGAAGGCTCCCCAAGCTCATGCTGATTCAGGCTTCGAGGAAGCAAGGGATCTGCTGATTTGGGCACTAACCTGGTTGACTGCGCCGATGGTCCAAACAGAAACCACACCACGTCTTGTTCCCAGCTGCCTCACAGGCACCTTGCTGCCCCCCCCCCCTCGGCCCCATGCCTGTTGCGAGGCCAGCGCCGGGTCCAAGCACTCCCCAGGCTGCCTGAGATGAGATCAATGCGGACAGGAAACCGCGAAACAGGAAGCGAGACTGAACAGGAATTCCTCAAGCGCTTCTCCAGACTGTGGATGGACGAAATCCTGCACCACGTTGAAGCCATGGGAAACCACTGTTTTGTGGGTATTTACGGGGGAAGCAAATCATTCCAGGGTTTCTTAGGTGGTGCAGGATTTCGTCCATCCACAGCAGCTTGCAAGCGAGTAGAATCAGTTGCAAGCTACCAATTAAACAGCAACCTAAATATACATGTTCCGCAACCATGATGCAAATAAAGACCCGACAACACAATTTCCACCACGACGACCCACATGGCAACCCAATACCCACATGTCCACAACCAGGCGCTGAAAACCTCTCCTAGCCCCCCAAATGAACGACCACGTCAAAACAAGGGAGTAATCACAATAACGAACAACAACATGAGACACTCAAACGCACAAACACAAACAAACAAACAAACAAACAAACAAACAAACAGACAAACAAAACAAAACAACAAACAAAACAAAACAAACAAACAAACACACAAACAAACAAACAAACAAAACAGACCAAAACCAACACCAAAACAAAACACAAACACACAGACAAACAAAACACAACAAATTCCAACAACACAAAACAAAACAAAACACAACAACATCAAACAAACAAACAAACAAACAAAACAAACAAAACAAAAACCAACAACACAACACAAAACAAAACAAAACAAAACACAACAACAACCAACAACACAAAACAAAACAAAACACAACAAAATCCAACAACATAACACAAAACAAAACAAAACAAAACACAACAAAATCCAACAACACAAAACAAAACAACACAAAACAAAACACAACAAAATCAAACAAACAAAACAAAACAAACAAATACACACACACACACGATGGTCCAACGGTGCCATTCGAGGCACAGCTTCTGCTCCAGCGCCTGGTTCAGCGTCTGCCGAAGGTTGTCGGAGCTGGCGAAGCGCTCGATGGTCCCCGGCAGGAGCGGCTCGTAGACCTGGTCGCTACCCGTTTAAGAAATGGGGTTAGAACATCCCTACCAGGGGTCCCCAATTCCAGTTATCTAGTCTTCCCCTTACAAAGGAAATGGAACCATAAATGGAATTCCAGGAGTCACTCCCCTCCCCCAATTCCATATTTAAGGGGGTGGGGATGTTAGAACCGATAAGAAAGGGGCCATCAGTCGTGGAGTTTCCAGGTATACAACTGGAACTTCGATTTATTGTGAGATTCCATTTGGAAGTTTTTGCTGTTCTATGTTTGTGGGAAAGGCTTGTAGCTGATACGTGGTTTCCGCCTTAAGAGCCGTTGCAGATCAAATTTCGGGGCATAGTCTCAGATAGCTCCTTTACACGGATTCTGAAAGAGTCGATCCTCGCTTTTAAAGGTGTGCTGGTGGTAATTTACTAGGAGGGCACCCCACACGCTAATTCGCTAAGCACTCAAATTACACCGCTATTTGCACAGCTTGGGAACAGCACTGCCAATTTGCAATGATTTCAGGGAGACTCGCTGGCGATATCTTGTGATGCTGGATGGAGCTGGGCCCTTGTGCGCGGACTACGCGCGTGGTGGCTAAGTCTTCTGAATGACTCGCAGGCCTACCAGGACATCAAATTGACCTCGACGATAACGAAGAACTGTTCCATGGAGCTTCTTGTCTGGTCACTTTTTGACTTGAATGATGACGATCACGAGGCGTGGAGAGGTTGTCAGAGTATGATAGCTGGTTAGACGTAGCAATTGTGCAAAACCCTCTCTTCAGCAAAACGCAGGTTTACAAACCGCTTCGGAAGAATTGATTTACAAAGGAAACCTGTGCAACTATTTCTTTGTTGCAACATGGAAAATGCCCATTAGTTGAATTTGAGAAGACTATCTGCTAGCTTCTTACCCTGAACATCCCCCGCCAACCCCGGCGCATCATGCAAGACACAAACACATCAACAAAATATAAACATGTCTCAATACGCAGCTTGTGCCAAAACGCAGCAAGAACGACCAACTATATAAATCTTTGAATACTTCGAAACACCCTTGACTATGCTTTTGTCCACATCAAAAAGCACAAGCAAAAACACAACAAATAACTTGGGCTCCTTCGTAAGCTACATGCATGGAACTAGAACCCTCTGGGTCCCTGAATTTGCTGCTTCCCAACAGGATATGAAGTGACGCGCCAATTCCGAGCTTCGCATCCCTCGTGTTTTCCAAACATGAAACCCATTCAGGCCCCAAGAAGCAGAGAGAGAAGCATCCCTCGAGCCAGCAAGTTGACCCCTCCCAAGCGCCGCGCTTCTCCGCACCCCTCGTGTTTCCAACGTTCTCCCTTGGTTCATACCTGAAACCCCAAACGGAAAGAGACACATCCCTTGAGCACCAAAAGCAAGCTGACCCCTCCCAATGGAAGCGCCGCGCGCCACACAAACTCTCCGGCGCCTTGTTGAAGAGGCCCACCGCGTTGTTCAGCAGACTCGCCAGGGAGGCCTCCAAGGCCCCCTGGGTCTTTGCCACGAAGCTCAGAGGCGCCGCAAGGCCCTGGAACCTGAGCCGGTCATAGCGTGCTGCGGATGGCTTCGCATTCGCAGCCCATTTCGCGCCACCTAACCATGAACCCAGAAGGCTTGTTGGGTAAACCATGGGAATGAAGCCAGAAGGTTTGTTGGTATTTTCGGGTAAATCATCATTGTTCTTTGGAATTTACGGGGGAATCGAATCATTCCAGGGATTCTTTGGTGGTGCAGGATGTCGTCCACCCACAGTATGTTGAAACATGGTGCCGAATTCTGCCGTGCTTCTGCCTGTCGCAGGAAGTTTGATCATCTAGCCAGAAATGGGCCAACTCTCTGTGAACTGTTCATCATGCAGGCTTGCCTTTCACCGAGAAGCATGTGAATAATAGCTTGTTTGTTTCTCTCTGTTTCTGGTTCTTTGGAACCAGCTAAGTACTCGGGTCACAGACCCCAAAAAACAATACATCACGCGTTTCCCGCCGAAGAATTCTGCCAAGGCGCTTCACCTGCAGAGATTTCAAGGTCGGGGGCTGCTTCAGCACGCTGGTGAAACACTCCTTGGGTGCGATCGCCATCTGCGCCAAGGTCCGCTTGCCTGACAAATCCAATGGGCGCAGCGTGCGGTGCCGGGGTTTCCACCCCAACAAGGAAAGCAACGCCATCTACACGACTTTGGAGGAATGCAACTTTTCGTTGCGGGCTGAGGCTATGCAGACTATAAAGCTCTGTCCAATCTCTGGCAAAGGGAAGGAGCCGGCTCTGAACCTTTCAGGAACCTTTGAAACTTCCAATGGGGCTACCATGGGCCACAACAAAGGCTATGACTTTGGCAGCTGCCTGCGTGTGTGGAACGCACGCAGGATTGCCATCGGGATCCTGGTAACTTCTGGCGGACTCTGAACAAAAAGGACACGCCTTTATTCTTTGATTCCAACAAGAAGTCCAGCAACAAAAGCGGAAAGGAGCCACTGGATAGCCTTGCTGGTTCTCGGCAGGGAATGAGATAATGACCCGTACATCATTATATAAACCATCCCCTCTGGTTTCCTTTAATGGAATCCCTTCATTCCCAAAAGTTCTGGGTCATTCCCTATCGCACAAGCAAGTAACTGAGTTAACCAATTCAAGCCACTTCAGTCTTGAGGCTTGCACTTCGGGTGCAACCGAAACCGCCCCCGGCCTGGCCACTCAGCTGACAGAACTTGGACCTCGCTGCTGACAGCCTTGGCCAAAGGGCCCCCCCATGGCTCCATAACCCGTCTGAGCACATCTATAATTAACAAACTGAACATACGGAGTCCGCACGCAAGGAATCTGGATCACTACCTCGTTTTACCCTGAAACAAGCTTGTATATAGTCCGCCCATCCAATGAGCTTACTTTATGAGCGCCAGGCGCCAGCCCCTTGCCCACTCCCAACCAGCCAGTTCGCACATATGGCATGCCCACACGCATTGTCTGGAGAAGCGTTCTTCAAAATCAGGCCTGAAATGGCCCACACAACGCAAGAAATCCTGCACAAACAAGCCCCAGCCCAGTGACGTTCAGTTCTACCAAGATGGACATAAAGGTTCTCGGCAACCTTGCTCGAATTCCCCCCCCAAAAAAAAGAAACGCTTGGGGCAGCGGTGGGAGGCTTCATGTTTCCCGGCACCTTGCCTGACTTGTTTGCATACATCCACGGGCAAGGCCTCGATTTGCCGGCGAAACAAAAGAAGTCCCCCTGGCCGCTGAGGAGCACGAACAGTACACCACAACATCCGCACCCCTGTAGATTAACATGGAACACAAAAAGCCACCATTTCTAGACTCAGTCTCCTTTTGGGAGCATTTTTGTGATGGGTCAAGTTTGTTAGTTCCATCCTTTGGTCCGCAGGGGGGATGCATTGCCCAGCAAGGTTCAAACAATGAAAGGCGAGCAAATGGATGCAACCGGCCGAGCCACCAGTGACGGCTGCTGGAGTGCAAGGTGAAGAATCATCTCTTGCTCCACAGAGGCCTGTACCAATGTCTTCCATCGGAATTTGCGTGTGCGCATGTGCCAAGTTACCCTTACACAGACATTACATATATTATACTGCAAGGGACAGATTCGTACACATGGGCTCCAAATAAGCCAAGTGAGGCTTTGAGTGCCCATGAACAGCAACTGCACACATCATATTATTAATTGGTGCGAGGGTCATTGCACGGGAATGCCCCAGCAACCAGTTTGGAGGGAGTCTTCAGGACGACCTTAAACTTGCTGGCGCTCAGTCAGGGAATGTGGGAATGAACCCAGGCTTTGGTCCCCTTAAAGGAAACCACAAGGGATGGTTTATAGGCTAGGTCCTCCAGTAGAGTGGTTAGAATAAGGGTACCTTTTTTTCTGTAGTCTATTTTGGTAGGGGGACCCTCCCCCAAAAAAAGAAACAATAAAGAGCACTGCTGGGGGACCATGTAGGGCTCATTCCCCCCTTCCTTCCTGAGCACCAGCGAGTCAAAATTCCCGCGCCTGGGTCTGGCCACTGGCGAGGTCCACCGCCTCCATCTGGACCTTGACGTCCACGCCCAGGCCGAAAGCGGCGCCCCAGCCCACCTGGCGCCGCTTTTGATCGGCGACTCTTCTTTTGGTGGTACCTTTTTGGGGTTGCCCTCCTGTTGTCGTTTTTTGGTGGTGATGACCCTTTCAAAATGGGGTCATTACCCAACATGACCCTTAAAAAATGGGGTCATTGCCCAACATTAAGGGGTCATGGACCCATTTTTTAAGGGTCATCGAGACTCTAGCTACCCTTTTTGTGGGTTACCCTCCTGTCGCAATGAGAGAAGGGTGGGAGTCACACCCTTTATGGAGTTTGACAGGGACCCGGTCCCTTGAAAAGGCACATGGTCCAAACCAGGACTCAGGAAACATGTTAGTTAATTGGTGGGAGGGTAGTTGAAAGGGAAACAACAAATGACAACCGAAGCCATTTTTGGGGTACCTGGATTTTGAGACAACCCCAGTTCAATCGAAGCAAGATAATTCTGCGGAGACACACTGACTGGCTTGTTTTTTGGGGCCTTCTCCTTCCCAGCCCCCCAATAAATTGCCGTGTCGAACAAACACTGTGCACCAATCGCAAGAGCTGATTCAACCAGGACGAGGGTAAGAATGAATCTAGGCACTCTGGTATGGACACTACCACAAGGAGGGAGCCCCAAATTTATCACTTCCATGATTGTGAAAAAGAGGGTTTTTTGTTTGGGATGAGACGCCGAAAGGAAACCAACCCATTTTGGCTACAGTATCTTTGAGACAAACCCTATCCAGGTCCACCTGTGGATCTTGAGTGCCACCATTGGTGAGATGGTGGGGCATCTTAGATGTTGTTCAGAAAATCGACAAAGGTGTGTTGGCAAGGTCAAAAGACAAGGTTGCTTCGAAACAATTTGATCCCGGAATGCAGGGACAATGCCCAGTCACAGTCGGAGTCAATAGCCTGCACCCATGCTGGGTTTTAAGTAAGCCATACATGTGATGTGTCATATGACGTCATGTGTGTCTGCGCACGTTGTCCGGGAAAGTGAGGGAATGCTTTGTGCAAACACCCTGTTTTCAGAAAACCGATTGCTGGTTTGGTCTGGTGGCTTGGAGTTTACAAATTCAGTCCCCAATGTGTTCCCAGGATTCCAGCTGAACTGGTAGCTCGAGGCTCAACTCCCACCGCCATGCCAAGCTCCCTGTGATTCGCTGGGACCCTCCTTCTTGCCAACCACGAATGCACAGCTGCGGAACCAAAGCCCTAGATTGCCATTTTGCCATGTGTCGGGCTGAACGAGCTGCGTGCGGATTCAAACGATGCCTGCCATTGGCTCATTTGAACTCAAACTAAGCTCTGCAATCCATCTTGGGATCTTGGTCTACTCATGGGATCTCACCATTCACATGGCAACCGAGAAACGTTTTGAGTGCATCCGTGCATCCCACCTTGAAAGACAGGTCGTTGGGGTTCAACGCCTTCACCGGAGAGAAGGAGTTCATGCCATCCATGCCTGTGAACTTTGTCCGAGCCCGTGGTCACGCGTTCACGTGTAGAGCAAGGCTTCATTCTCGCTAAAGACATTTGCATCCCGGATGGGCGGGCCCGTATCGCCGTAAAGAAAAAGTACAGCTGGACTAGATGTAACTGTAGTATGTTGTGCTTGCTTGTGTTGAGCACTTGTTCAATTCAAGAAGGTCGAGCGGCATACATCAGGGGAAGGGGATGGGTTCAAGATTCAAAATGCGAGACCCCCTTGCAGATGTGCTCTTTGCTTAGAGCTGGGTTGTTCCTAGCGCTGGCCCAGCGTCACTTGGACCTAGGGCTGCGTATAGGCTCTCATTCGGTGGCAGTTGGGAGTTGCTGGGGACTGGTTAATATTGGGCCTGGAGATTCCAATGCCGAGGAATTCCTAGGCGTTCTGATTCTCGAGGCGCTTTAGGCGTTTTAGGCGTCTTGCGGGGTTTTGCGCTTTTTTTGCGGGCGTTTGTTCGCCTCATCCTGCAAAGGGTCCACCGGCGGATCCTTTGCGCAAGTCGAATCTTCCCCCGTCCTTCCACCGTGGCCGAGTTCAGGTATGCCGTGACTTTCAGCTCAATACCTGGCAGGTCCAAACGAGGCGGGGTCCAGCCAGCGGCCGGATGGGTCGCATGCTGGGGACGGCCGAAATCCCGCGGCAGCTGAGATGGATTTCATATGATTTCATCCTAGTATCGGGAAACTCCACCCATCATCTCGTGCCGGTTTTTTTGGTCCATCAACAGTAGAAAAGGCCTCCCAAAGAGCTTGTCGATTCCACTTTGGCCTCGGCTTTGAAAACGAAAGCCCAAGAAATATCTCCAACTGCGTCGGCCAAAACTCATTCCCCTGAACCTGTCTGAAACCAGCCTGAAACCTAGCCCCAAACGCAGTATTGACTTAGACCCCAAAGCTGTCGCTATTGAAAAAAGCACAAAAGGGTACCAAGCCTCAAAAACAACAAAGCCATATTGAGGCAGGTTCCTGCTTGAGCATGAGCTCCTCCTGCGGCTAAGATAAGCCTACAGAATTCTTCGGCAACCGCTTGTATGTGTCCGTTTGCAGGGGGTGGCCCATAACTTTGCTCAGGAAGGGATCAAGACAATCGCAACAATGCAAATGCAAAGAGATAGAGAGAGAGTTGCTACACATTGCAGAATGCCAACTTGGAGTAGCTTCGCCGGTCTGCCGTTGCCACCCGCAAGAGGGAGTGTTCAGGAACCCTCCCAGCTGGTTTGCTTCCGTGTGGACTTTTCACAACTCATCAACTGGCCGCCAGATTTTGAGAATGAACAACCCAGGGACTAGAACCGTTTCTTAGGCTCTGTGTAGGCGGGTAGACCATTCACCCCAGGCCCTCTTTGTGAAAAAAATCGAACCCAAACATAAACCTCGTAGACCTCCCCCTCCCCCCCCCCAAAGCGAGACTCAAAACCGCCATGGTGCCGGCGTCTGGCTGCTTCACTGTGGTGGTCATCAAGGGCCTTGCAGTGAGGCCACTGGCCAACAGAACCGATTCAGAATCAAACTCTGTGGCAACTTCGGGTTCATCTGCAAAACTGCTACCAATCAGGCGGTGTCCCCCTTTAAGCCTTGGATTGGTTACAACTGGAACCTCGTGAAAGCTGCACAACACATCAAACATCTGTTTGCAAGCCGCCATGCCTGAGCTGATGCCGCTATTTGCGTTGCAAAGTCGTGGGTACAGTCCTAAAACAGCCACACCCTGCTGGTGAGTTCAGCTATATACGTATGTATCTACCTATCTAGAAACATATATATATATATATAATATATATATATATATATATATATTTATTTATTTATTAATGTCAAACCACCTTCCAAAACAGCCGCCGCCGAGCGCATTGATTTCGATGTGTCAAGCCCAGCTTTGTTCCTAGGGCTCAGGCTGGCAAAACTTGCAACTTGATTCCATGTCTCGGTTGCCTTCTGCTCCCCTACTAAAAGCTTAACTTTTTGTGGGTTAATACGGAAAACCCGTTAGTTGGCAAAGAGTTGAAGTCCTAACATCCCAGCAACATGCAGCAAAGATGTGTTGGGTTGTCCTCCGACAGAACTGTTGGCCGGCGCTTTGTACTCAACCAAAGGGTCGACTTGGCCCTCGAAAGCGATGGCAAGCGGTTTGCCCCTTTTTTGCTGCAAGTGCCACAGAAACTGCAAAACTTCCCAGTCACCACTTACCTTTACAACCATCTAGGAACATCACCAGTTGCCTTTACCTGAAAACCATCACCTGAGTTCAACCATCATGTTGGCCTTTTGGCTGCTGCTGACTCCGTTTTCTTTTCTTTTTTTGGGGGGGGTCCAATGGAGAATCCGATCAGTTTCAACAAAAAACATGAAGTCCAAAGATCCGTTGCCAAATAGCCAAATATAATAATATTGGGTTGCCACTGGAAGAACCCAGATTCCTCACTTGACATCATTTGGATCCTTATTTTACGTCGGCCCACAACCCAACAACTAGTTGATTCAACTTGCTGGTGAACAGTAGGGAAGGAGGCAATGAACCCAGGCTTTGGTCCCCTTAAAGGCCGCCAGTGGGATATTTGTTTCATTCCCTGCCGCTTTCGCATCGATCACAAGTCAAAGGAGGCGCCTTCTGAGTTGCTGTTGACCCCCCTGCAAAAAAGTTTGACTTTTTGTGGGTTTCATTGAAAACCCAACTTGGTTTCAACCAAAAAGCTAAAGTCCAAAGATCCGTTGCCCAATAGCAGTGGATAGAGCCTTTCAAAGGCAAACCGCCTCTAGCCAGCGGCCCAAGCGCTTTGCGAGGCGCTTGACGGGGCCGGGGATGACCACGGAGTGCGCGCCCTTGAAGGCCCAGGTCAGGGCTTCGTCCAGGCGCTCAGGGCCCAAGACGTCGTCCACCAGCCAGGAGATCCAAGCTGGGCACGGATCAAATGGCCATGGGTCAAAACGTAAAAGCCCCCCAGTGAACATCCCAATCTCACTAAAATTGGTTCTACATGGGTGGTGAATTCACCTACCCCAGAATCAAGTCCCATTGGTTTTGACCCACGGCCAAATCAGCAGCTGAGTGAGGCTTAACTTGGGGAAAAACGAACCTCCTGACAACAAATAATTCGTACATTGTGAGGTTTGCGAAATGTGGAGGAGAATCACGCCCAGGTAGTCTTGGCTGGTTCTAAGGGGGAAACCAAGGGGAATCAAGCCGTGTTGTTGGGTTCATCTAGGTTGCCTTTGAAAAAGAGACTGCAAGGCGCCCAGCTTGTCTACACACACACGTACTTATGGATGTTTCCTAGACCCTCAAGAAAATGAACTTGGCAGAAGCCGTGGGTTGAACAGGCGTTCAACCATTTTTTTTGGGACAAACCTTCCCGAACTCTGGGTTTCGGTCCTTGTTTTCAGGCTCGGGAACCCTCATGGCTGGGTGATGAGAAAACTGTCACTTTAGGCGCGCCCAAGCCCAATTTTTAGACAGTCCCCTTTGGTTATTAGAAAAGTGGGTGTGCATTTCATGAGGCTCAAGACCCTTTTCGAGGTGGTTTTCACGGGAATCCAAATGGAAACCAATCAGCCGCGGGGTCCAAATCCAATCTTAGCACACAAACATGGTGAGCCCCCTTCTGGTTTGTGCTCTCAGTAACAACGTCACAAAGAACAAAACACGATGGGCCCCATACTTTTCTGCTACTTGACAGGACGCATAGGCATATGCGAATCTTGGAGCTGGACAAATGGCAAAGCCTTTTTGGGTCCTGAACACCTCTCAAAAAATGACACCTTCCGGTCCCAAAAAGGGAGCTCTACTCTGCCGCATCCGTGCCACAACCAGTTGGGCACTTTTAGGGAAAAGGGCGGCTGACATGGTGAAAACAACATAAAGCAAACATATTGGCCAGCCAGTTGACAGGGAGGGCTCATGTTTCCGAAGACCCACATAGTGTGGTTGGCTATGGCTGGCACGGCATCCAAGCTGAGGCATTCCGGAAGGCCGGGTTGGGCAGTGCAAGCATATTAACATATTCTCCAATGCCTCTAGGGCAGTTGGGATGCTGGAAATGGAAGGATCGCCACTAAAAAACCCAAGGACCAGCCCCAGCACCCAGGTTTCTATAGTTGGGTGAACGATGGCCAATTTGATCCTTGGCTTGAGCCATCTCCACATGAAGTCAGTCATCCCCTCTGCCCCCTCCACTTTCGCCGAGTGGCTCAAGGATTCGTCCCGCGTCCAGTCCACAGTTCCGCCCGACGTCCCCAGGTCAACCTGTGCGGAAAAACTCAGCCCAAAGCCCTGAACCCACCGCGAGGGTCTCAGTTTAGAGCTTGTGCATGTTAGGGGATCCCAAAGGCCAGTTCATCTTCAGTGATCTTTGGTTTCCGCTTGACACATCCCTTAGAAAGGGTAGAAGGAGACCGGCCCTGCCTTTTTTGGGCAAAAATCCGCCTGACACATCCCTCAGAAAGGGTAAACGGAGACTGGCCTGAGCAAAAGGCCCCCAGTCACTCTCCAGTCCCGCCTGCAAACGCCGGGCTTCTGCCACTCGGAGGTTATTGGTGGCGATCACTTCCTGAGGCATGAAAATTGAATTCAACAGATCTCCGTCCTAAAGATGAAGGTCCCCATGATCATCATGAGTTGTGAGTATGTATTCGCCAAACATAACGGATTGCGCGGTAAGCTTGAATAACCGCAATACCCCAAAGCAGGTGGTTGAAGTAGTCGAACTTGAACAGCTGTTGTCATGTTCTCATGCTTCATTTCAGCGTGGCCTTCAAGACGCGGCCGTTCTCTTGGCAAATGCCCAAGTGGTCAACGTAGTGAGGTTTGGGCTTATCCCGAAGGCAGCTGATAGGATCACCCTGGCAAGGGTGACGAACAATTTGCTTACCCCTGCTCGGCTTCTCAAAATCCTTGCGGCGTCTTCAAGCCTGCCGGGCTGAAGACGCAAAGCGGCTCTGGTTTGGTCGGTTTCTCAACTTTTAACTGGTTCGCAGCCGGAAGCCGAATCAATCCACCCTAACCTGCGCACATGCACACGCAAAGAGCAAAGCAGTCAGCCCTGATTGGCCAAAGACCCTGTCAAATCAGGCTTTGGGTCGGTCCTTCCTAACTCTATGATTCGATGCGAATCGAGCAACTTCCGCAGCGATTTCCAAACGTGCCAAGTCAGCGGAAATCCAGTTATTAGGACTCTGCCAGCCCCTCTCCGAACCAATCGAAAGGCCCTGTTTGGAAAAACCCTCAAGGTGTACTAAAGGGTAGCAACATGTTCAACTAGTGCTCCCAAACCCCAGGCATCAACCCGTCTGCTTCTCCTCCTCCGGTGGGGCGAACAGCTGGTTGACGTCGTTGACGTGGGTCTCTACATCCACGTGCAAAAACTCCTTTGGCTCAGGCTCCTTGTTCTCTGCCTCCAAGACAAAGCAGAATCGCACCATCCATACCCCCCGTTGCAAGCACATCATACGGAACTGCCTAGAAACATTGTGGAAACAGAACTTCCTTGCGCAAAACCCCGTGAGCAAACAAAATGCCAAGCTGTGAATGGAGCCTGTGAGAAGCGCTCGTAGACATGCACAGCCGGATTCGAAGCTCTGGAAGTCCCATCAATACGCAGGGCTCCGTGAAGGGAATTTGATATGGCCATGGGTCAAAATCCAAATCGTACCAGTGAACATCCCAATCCCCACGTGAATTCACCAACCAAAATGGTACCAAAACGGCTTTGACCGACGGCCATATCGATTTGCCGGTTTGCAGACTGACGAGTGGCAGCTGGCCTCATCGCGAGGCTGGGTGGCCACTGACCTGGGCCTTTCCAGCGCCGTAGCATGCATGCTAAGTGGCTGGTGAAAAATAGGGCAGCCCCAAAATGGGTTGCCGCGGTAAATGGAACCAAGGACTAAACCCTGCGGTCCATATCCTGGTGATTCTGGGGTTTAATTTTGACCCATACCCACTCATAGGCTCAAGTAGGGCGTTGTTTTGGGATTTTGGAGGGCCCTATGACAAGCCCCAGCCAGAGACTGGCAGCAAACGACCCCCGGACCCGCCACCCACGTCGCCTGTGCTGTCCTGGTGGCCATCAACATGGTCGTCGCACTGGGGAGGAAGTGGTGGTTGAAAGCTGCCAACTTCTTGGACAGCCTCAGCCAAATGCCACATCCAACCTATTTAGGGAAGATGTTTGTATGCCAACCTGAGCTACTCGGTCCAGTCTTCTGGATGCGTTCCAAAAATGAAGGATGAGACAGCCCCTGCCAGATACTTGATATTTCTTTGCCTTGTCAGCCACCTGCTCGGCTCCATGTTAGGGAGGGCATCCCTCTGCCAGGGTGCCATGTGGAAAACACAATCGGAATCCTCAAGCAAGGAACCTTCGTCATGGCCGAGCTTGGCATCCAAATCTTTGGTGCATTTTGCTTGGATCTTCGGACTTTAACTGCTTGCCAACGAATGGGTTTTCCGAATTAAACCACCAAAAGTTAGTCACTTTTAGCAGGGCTTCGCAGAAAGCAACCGAGAAATCCCTAAGCTGAGTTGCCCAAACGCCAAGTGGCTCTCCGCTGGCCTGCGCCTTCAGCTGCGCGCAGCCCTGCTTCACAGCCTGGCGCTTTGGGCGTCCCCGGGACCCGTTGATCGCCGTTCAAAGGAGTGTCAGTGAAAATATGGCTTTGTGATGGAGCAGAATCTTCCGGCGCGAGCGAATGCATGTTGAAGCTGATATAGTTTCCCGCCCAGCGGCAAACTCTTTCAGGTCCATCATTTCCACCCTTTCCAGACCTCAGCATGCCTGTTCACTCGAAAAGCGCTTCAACAAAAAAAACGGGTCCGGGTCCGGGATCTCCTGCCTGGCTCTTGATGAGTGCGGAGATGGGCGTCGAGAAGAGGTTGATGATGTCGTAAACGATGGAGCCCTTCAGCGTCAGCTTGAAGTTGATGCTCGCACTGCAGGCCGTGGCCTCTCTAAGCGGGCGACAGCGCCTCCGAATTCCTTAAGGCCTGCCAGGCAAGACTAGGCGATTCTTCTGGTTCGTGAGCTAATGAAAACTCGATTACTTAGGCTCGGGTGCACTGCGGAGCGCACCTTTTCCTTGAGCCAAAATACAAGTAGCGTACTGGGTCTTTATACCTATACATCTCATGACTCCTCCTTGCTGGAAGAGCGTCTCTGTACACGCTCGCAAAGCAATCCGGTAGCGGAGTCTGGCCAGGGGCCTTAGCTCCCCAAGAGCTTGAGTTGTCCCTTACTGCGTTGATCCAGGAAAACATAACCACACCTCTTCATGGTTTCTGTCATCTGTACACCTGGTATGCCCCTTTCCAGGGACATGCTCTACCCTAAGGTGGTCCATGCTCACCAGCTCCTACAACCACAAAAATCTGGTCTGGATGCGACGGGCCTTTCCTAGGCCTGCTCGATGCACCGTACCTTTTGCTGCAGTTGCATCTGATTGGATAAGAACCTGGGTCTCCACCGCAAAGTCCTCCAAGAGCGACTGAAGGCCAAGACCCACTGAACCTCCTTTGACCAAGGCATAGTACTCCGACTCGCCGGTCGAAAGAGCCATAGTTGACTGCACATTGCTGCTGTGCTTCAGCACATGCAATCCATACAGTGCAACCATCCGCGTAGTGGATCTCCTCGTCATAGCCTCTCCTGCATGATCAGAGTCCACTTGAATCCGGAGTTTGTTCGGCCTTGCCTGCCTGGCAAACACCTGACACACGTCCGGCTTCCGGATGAGGTAGCGACACAGTCGCTTCAGATCCTGCAAGGATGCCTCTGTCGGCGAGACCATCTTCCTTGCAAGATTCTTCACCGCATGACTGATGTCCAACCTGTCCTGAGACAAGTATGCGGCCCTCATCACGCAAGATCGATACAGCGAAGCCTGGTCTTTCGGTAAAGCTGGGCTTCTGGCTTCCTGCGTCTGCAACTCTACGGACTTCTTCACGTCCGGTGTCTCTGCTCCCTTGGCATTCTGCATGCCAAGCTGCTGCACAAGTAGATCAACATGCCGTCGATCTTGGTCGATCAGGATCGCGCTTGCACCTGATGTTGTTCACAACGAATGAGTCTGTTGAGAAAGTGAACCTCCTTGCTATCCCCTTCCTCGTCTCCAATCGTTCCTAGCCATTTCAGCTCATAAGCGCTGCGAAGCAATGCGTCTACCTCCTTCAACGCGTCTGCATCTCCCCACGCCATGAAATCATCTCCATGCACAAGCACTCTCACTTCCAGTGTTGGATGGTAGAATACTGAACCATTCGACTTTCCCCTGATGTATCCCGCCTTGACCAACAGCTGCGTGTAATGCTGCTGCCATATGTTCGGGGCATCCTGGGTTCCGTACATTGACTTAGTTAGTCGACCTACCATTCCTGGAGTTGAGTCCTCCTCCGGCAACTCTATGTATATGCGCCTCTTCGGCACACCATAGAAGTGGCCTCTTGAGATACCCCATAGTCCGATCTTAAGAGATCGTCCTCGCTGAGATACCCGCTCTGTGGCCCAAAGGCTACACAAGAGCCTCATCGCCTCCAAGGGTGGCGCTGACGAGAACAGCATGTTCTGAGGGATTCTCTCCTCTGGTCTCTTCCGGGCCTTAATTTCCCGGACCACCAATCTTGATCGAAAGTTCGGGTTGGTGGGATCTCCCTTGTTCGTGTCTATCCAACGAGTGGTTATTGGGCCTCTCCCGTTGGTATCTCGAAGACACTCCTCGAGTGGCACCTTCTCATAAACCTCTTGCTTCCGAAGATATGCCAGCTCCAGTTGGCGTGCTTCTCTGACACGATCTGGGGGCAGAAATCCACAATTCACATCGTCCCAGTACTGCTCAACGTCCTCCGGCGTCACGAAGCATTCTTCAGGAACTGGACCTGCAACAGCTGCGTCCAGTGCACTCAATTGTCCGTTCTCCACCAGGTAGTCCCTCAAGGCTCTCAGCACCGCCCGCACCAGTGCCGGCGGATATCTCGCTGCTGGCCTCGCGAGTCCTCCGATTAGGTGGACATGCCTATGCCAAGGCTTCCCCTCTGTCTTGTTACTGCATTCTCCTTGCAACAGTCGCGCCAGTCCTGGATGATTGGTCATCCAGCCTGTTTCCTTGCACACATGTCCTGTCCCTTGCAAGCCCCGTCGGTCCGCAGCGACCATGGCCTGGACCTCGGACTGTACACACGTCCGGTCGTTCGGAAAGGTCTCGGACCTCCGGGTCCTTCCATGATGTGGCACTCCACGGTGCCTCATGCAGAAAGAATCTACCAGCCTCAACTTGCTTCCTGTAGAAGTTACAGGCAGTATGCAAGTGTGCTACAGCTTTGTCCATTTTCTCTCTTCTCTGATCCGCACTTACCTTATATTTGTTGACGTTCTGCAGTTGAGAAAACTGATCACAGGGCGGACTCCCTGTGAGCAATGTCGGCTCGACCTCGTCCACGTACTTGTCGAGCTCTCGGACGTCATCTTCCCTACTGAGGTCCCAGTACTCGGCTTGGGCTGTGAACCTCTTCGGGCTGTAGATCTCCATGATGTCTACTGCTCCCATCTCTACGCAAAGCTTGGTGATCTGCTCCAAGTCCACTGCATTGATCTCCATCTCCTGGGCTGCGAAAGCTCTCTCAATCTTTCTTCCAACCATTGACCGCAACATGCCTTTCAATCGACTCAGTTCAAGTCCTCCCACGTCTGGGGGCTTGTCCGGAGCGTTTGAAACATCGGCAGCAACTGCCGCTTCGGTCTCGGTCCTAAGTTCTTCCAACTGTACTTCCGGCTCCCGCTTCTCGCCCTGCTTCGGCTGCATCTTCAGCTTGGGTCCCGGCGCGATGTGGAGCGCGCCTGGCCTCTTGACCTGTGTGGTCGGCTTAGCCTTGCTCTTCGCGCTGCTGGATGCTGAAGGTTCTGCTGCAGCTCTCTTTAGCTCTGCTCTTTTCACTGGGTCCTCTTCATACTCCATCACCTGTCCAGGAACATGACCTGCTCCTGCCCCGGCCCCAACGGCCGGCTCTCCCATAGCCTCCTGGGCTGGGAGATCTTTTTCCACTTCTGTCTCCTTTGTGGATTCTTCACGTTTCCTCTTGTGTTGTTCGACTCGACGTCGTCCTTGCTCGTCGTCCATCATGAGCCCAACGATTCGGGCTCTGCAGCAACACACATGTGCACCCTGGGCATCCATCTGTAAGTTTGTACTTGTCCACGTCAACCTTCCGGATGTAGATCCGTCGCTGCTGCGGTGGTGCCATGACGGGCACGATCTGAGGTGGTACCTCAACCCGGTCCTCACTGACCAGCAGATCCTCTACCCCTTGGGCTGCCAGGCGCCCTCTGGCTTGGGGTTCCTGGGGCTCTCACCGAAACCTCCCAGGGATAGCCCTTCAGGCTCTCCCTGAAAGTTCCTCCGGAAGGCGACGAACTCCTGTACCTCGCTTCACTCCTTCTGGTGTCACAACCAGCAAAGCGCCGGTCCTTCCGTGGTGACCTATATACCGGCCTTCCTTCAACGGCCTAGCGCTACCTCACGATAGTAGAGGAGCTCTCCAATAGCGGGCTTTCTCCATTGCTTGCCGCTACGCCTCTGCTCTGGTGTCTTCCCATCGACACCCCTCTTGTAGCTGCAAATCAGGTCTGCTGAGTGTCTTGGAAACCAACACAGCACCGGGTCATCTTCCTTGAGAAGTCGACCCAACTTCTCCTCAAGTGAGGATCGCAGGACTCGTACTGCCTCTTGATTTCTCGGCACAAATTCTCGATTGCGCCATTCGCCCGGTGGTCAGCCACCGGCGACTCCTGTGGAACATTCTCCACACCTGCTTCCTTGGCCCGCCTGCTCCTTCAGGGCAACGATCGAATGCTCACCATCACCCTTGAAGACTGCACGATGGTAACCAAGATGCTTTATAAAGTTCGCCATGAATTTGACCGTTCCAAATGCACAGTGACAGGCCCATTGGCACCGGTTCACAAACCGTTGGTTTGCCGGTCTTTCCACAGTTGAAGCAAGCACCGGTAATTCTTACCGGATCCACTGCCTTTTCCCTTGCCTTTGCTGTCCTTACCTTTCCCCTTGCCTTTGTTACCACCTTTATCCTTTCCCTTGCCTTTGCCTCCTTTCGAGCCTCCTTTGACCAGAGAGTTGAGAACCTTCGAGAGGGCGTCGACGTCCTCCAACTGCTCTATGGCTGGTCTCACTGAATCCCATGTTTTAACACGTTCGGGGTTTAGTATGGCCCGCAAGATGTTCCTCTTACGACCTGCCGTAAGGGGATCCCATCTCCTGTTCAATCTTCGCCATGCTTCAAACCCGTTCTTAGTGTTGATGACCAAGTCCTCGGATTCGTGAGTGGTGAGGGACGACAGCAAGCGGAACAACTGGTCTCCCTTCTCGTCTAGTCCCCCCATGCCAAGCTCGCCTCCATGCTCTGCCTCTACCTTTTCTACGGCCACTTCCTCATCCTGATCAACAACCCATTCAAGGATCTGTTGGAAACTCGACCCAAAGATTGGATTGCGGTTGTTAAATTGACCACCGACCGTGCCCATCTCCGGAAACTGCCATCTTCGTTTGGGAAAACCTCAGGTCTACCAATGCCTTTGGTATCTATCAAGAGTTTCCGGTCTCCCCTCTGCATGCTGTTTGCCAACCTTCCTACATTCTCGGCCAGTGTAACCATACTAGCAACTCTCTGATTTGTTCCTCCATTCCCAAAGTCCAGTGCCACGCGCCGGGGTCAGTCCGATTTGGGCTCCTCTTCCTCTGTATAGTACGTATAAGATCCCGAGTCAGGCTCAGCCCGGTCGTGAAAATGCACGCTGGCCTCACTCAGAGTTGGAGATGGCGGCGGTGGTGGTGGCTTCTTCGGTGGATACTTCGGCTTCGGGACCAACACCACCTTCGGCACCGCCGGGGCCTCCTTCAAGATCACTCGGGTCTCCTCCTTGGGCTCGTTCTTCACCTGCTTCTTCTGCGGCTCCTCCTTCTCTTTCTTTGGCGGCTCCTCCTTCTCTTTCTTCTGCGGCTCCTCCTTCTCTTTCTTTGGCAGCTCCTCCTTAGGCTTGCTTGCCTTTGGCTTGGAGGGCTCCTCCGGCTGTACCGCCGGCGCTTTGGCCTTCGGCGGCGGGCTCTTCCAAATCGCCGGGAGCTTTGGCGAGGGTCCCAATACCGAGTCCCCTACTCCCGCAAACAGAGCAGCCGCCCGGGCCAAGATAGCTGGCCTCGCCGAGGTGTTCCGCTCGTCGCACGAGCTGCACGGCACACTCGCCGTCGAGACCCAGCACCGCTTTGGCGATCGGTACTTCAACCGACCCCTTCGCCTTTGTCAAGAAAAGGGTCTCCGAGACGGCCGCCCTCCGCAGCCGATAGTTGCTCGCGAGGGCAGTCTCAAGTGTCGCCGCACCACGCTTCACTCGGGCCACAGCCAATTCTTGGACCCGCTGATGGACCGTGATCTTTCGTCCAAGGGCCTTTGCTGCTCTCTCTACCTCAGAGAGAACCTTGGCTCGGCTGGACCAGCCGGCGCAGACTTTCGTCCGAGTCCAAGATCCTTAGGTGAACTCGGCGCCGCAGTCTTGGGTGGCGTAACAGTGGCTTTCGGTGGGGTCTTCGGCACAGCTGAGCTTGCCTCAGCCTGGCGCTGCCTCTTCCAGGGGATGTGCTCCTCCTCTTGTTGAGCTGCTGAACCTCAATCTCAACCTCTCTGGGCACCCTTTTCCCCTTCTTGTTCGCAAGCTTGATGAGGCCTTTGAGGATCCTATAATGGCGGGCCTCCTGCGACCGCCGATTGTCTTTCCACCCTTTCTGGGTCCTGGTGAAAAGCTCCTTGCCCTGGGGCCTTTGCGGCGGCGGGTAGCTCGGCTCCCAAGGCACGACCCTGCGCGCCGACTGCCAGGGCCCCCAGTCGCTCTCCTCATCCGACTGAGCCCGGAGGTCCTGCTTCTTGTCCTCAGCAGTATATACGACCTCCCTTTCCGGACTTACGTCCGGCCGCGGCTACTCGCCGGTTGAGCCTCCTCTTCTGGGCTCCAATCGGCCTCCGAGACCGCAGCGGCTGGCAAAGACAATGGGGCCCGGATCTCGCTCCTCTTCTGGCAGGAAGGCTCTGGTTCTTCCGGTTCGCTTTGCTCCTCTGGCTCCTCTGGCTTATCTGGCTCCTCTGGCTCAGGGGCCGCGGGCTCAGCGCCCGCTCTAGCGGCTTTTCCTTTGCCGCTCCTGGACCTCCTCCACGGAGGCTCCGGTGGGCCTTTCCTGCCCTTCTTGCCCTGCTTGCCCTTGCCCTTGCCCTTGTTCTTGCCCGTGCCCTTGTCCCCGATCTTTCCGGTCCAGATGGACCGCCGACCTGCTCGCTCAGGTAGATCAGGCTCACTCGCTACCATGAGAACTCGATTACTTGGGCTCGGGTGCACTGCGGAGCGCACCTTTTCCTTGAGCCAAAATACAAGTAGCGTATTGGGTCTTTATACCTATACATCTCATGAGCTAAGCAAAAACTAGGGTAATATCAAAAATTAGGTCACTAACATACAGCATGAGGTGAAAAAAACCTTTGTTTTGCTTGGCCAATTTTGGCTTAGCTTAGGCTTACCGACTAGGCCATATTGAGGACGTGCTTGCCAGGAGAAGCTACCAGGTGTCCCCGCCTTGGCCCTTTATGAAATGGGACATGCGTCCATTTGATAGAATCGTGGCATAGAGATTGGAGGTTTCCAAACCGGTCTTTGTACAGGGCATCTTCCGCATTTCGCCCGCTCAAAACGATTCGCCTCCCATCCCTGCATTGAAGGCGATGAAACAAACACATCCAAACTATAATTCCGTCTTCTCAATGCGTCCATTGAACTGAGCCAGGGCCAATCCAAATTGCATCCGTCTTACGGTCAAAAACATGAAGCCTAGCAGCTCCATGTGGGCTTTGGCCAGGTGTCCATCCTCGTTTTTGCAACAGAACATTCCGATTATTCGGCAACATGGCCAGGCCACAGCACAAAAAAATGCAGAAAGGCCAAACAGGCCAACTGCAGGTGGAACAACTTCCATATTCCTTCTGAAACTCGACTTCCCTAAGAAACGTGCGAGCCAGGATGGCAAAGCGCGAGCGGCCTCAACAGCCCAGGGCAGGTTCTTATCAAAGCTGGTGCCCTGCAGGGCAACGGTGGCAGTAGAGTCCGCGCTGCTGGCCACCTAGGGCGCAGGCTAAAAATCTTTGGCCACCCTTGCGGCGGGGTTGGTTCTTAGTGCCGCTGAACCGGGCAAGGGGTGCCTCTGAGCAAAAGCCAAGGGAAGGGTGCCTCTGAACTCGGGTGAGCGCAGGCGGGTTGTCTCACGTGGGTCGAAGTGCGCCATTGGATGCATGACGTCTGCAACTTAGACTATAATTCCAACAACTGGATTTCGGACCCCCAAGTCAAGCACCTTTGTGGCTGTCGCTCGTTATCCCCCCGAATCGGTGAGAGCGCTATAAAATAGGCCGATGGATGCCGATGGATTACATGCCGCCGCCACCCACCTCGTACACCCCGCACAGCGGGATAAGTGCCCTTTCCACGCGCAAAAAACAATAAACGGGCCACTCGGCCAAGGGAAAAAAGGAGCCGGGACAACCCATGCATAGATCCGCAAGTGTCCGGGTTGGCCACGATGCTTGCACCTCTTGGCTGACAACACGATGTCATCAGAAACGGAATTCATCCCTTCGGCAAGCTTTTGCCGCATGAGCTTGGCTTGCCACAGAGTGCGCAGGGCCGTCGGTCAAAAGTAGCATGACTGTCGCAAAAGCTTGACGGGCACGATCCCCGAAAGGATGAAGTCCCTCTGATTGGTGGCTTGGATTGGCTCGGTGGTTCAGGAGGGGTTTCCCATCCGTCCACAAGAACCGCAGGCTGAAACCCCCAGTTCCCACCAATCCAGCCACCAACCTGACGGTTACCTGAGTAGAGTAGTCGGAGGGCCCTTCCGAGGGCTCTTGCATTGTGATTCAATTTGTTGGGTTAAAGGAAATTCTACCAAAAAACAGCTTAGTGTTATGGTGCTTTGCGGCCATTTCCTGTAGATGTTCCTTTCACCATGGCCATGGGTTGGTGCTGGTTACTGCCTAAGGCACGTGCTCCCAAGCCACACACACACATTGCACGTCATTGATGTGAGCAAACGCGCGCACGCACACGCACCCCAACACACAAACACAGACACACAGACATAGACACACACACACACAGACACACACACACACACAGACACAGAGACACAGAGACACAGAGACACAGAGACACAGAGACACAGAGACACAGAGACACAGAGACACAGAGACACAGAGACACAGAGACACAGAGACACAGACACACAGACACACACACACACACACACACACACACACACACACACTCACACACAGACACACACACACACACACACTCACACACACACACACACACACACACACACACACACACACACACACACACACACACACACACACACACACACACACACACACGGAAACAACAAACACAAACAACCACTAACAACACACACACACACACACACACACACACACACACACACACACACACACACACACACACACACACACACACACACACACACACGGAAACAACAAACACAAACAACCACTAACAAAAAAAACAAGCAAGCAAACAAGCAAACAAACATACGAACAAAAGACAAATAACAACACGCAAGACAGACAGAAAGACAAACAAAAAAAGTTAACGGCCAACCGACCGACATGCCAACCAACCAGCCAGCCAGCCAGCCAGGCCAACAAACCAGCCACACAAGCATACAAGGAAGCAAGCAAGCAAGCAAGCAAACAAACAAACCAACAAACCAACAAACCAACAAACCAACAAACCAACAAACCAACAAACAAACATACAAACAAACAGACAGACACGCAGACAGAAAGACGGACAAAACAAACGCACACACACACACAACCCACAAACCCTCACACCATGCCACATCCGCACCCAAACCCACACCATACATGCTCCTCACACCGCGACGCATCACGCCATAGCAAAACCCGCACTCACACACACACACACACACATATGCACACCAGCATACACACTAAGTGCCCTGCCAAGTGACTGAAAATAAGTTCCCCCGCCCCCCACCCACCCCGGCCTGTAATGTAAATTAGTGATCCTCAAAGGAAACGGAGGAAATGGAGAGCTGCTTACCGGGCCGTCCCTCGCTTCGCAATTCGCCGGGAGGCGGTCGCGGTCAAATTCCCGGAGCCGCTGATAATGGCGAGGCCCTTGTACGCGAAGTGCCCGGTGCAGGTGATACCGACGCCCTTCAGCGTCACAGACAGCCCCACATCCTGCGATTCAGAGATACCTTGCCCCTCGAAAGGAAAAAGTGGGCTATTGATGGTCATTTGTGCGCTGTCCTGTTGGCTGCAGTGCGTGCTTTTGTTCCTACGTGCACTGCCAACCAAGACAAATGCATGGACTTGTAATGCTGCACCGATACATCCACACCGGCGTCTCTGTCATAAGCAATGAACATCGCGTAACACCCATATACAAAGAATGGGCTGTCAGAAACTGTCCCTGCTCGTTCATGGTATGCCTGGAGCGGGAAGGGAACCTGGACTTTTCATGTTCCGAAATCATTGCAGCGCAAACCCTCGATCCTTCAGGTCTTTCCTTTGCAAGGATGCCCTGTTCTGACGCAACTGGACTAAACACCCAGACTGGAAATGATCCATGGCGCCGTTGGCATCCGTTGCACGTAGTGGTCCTTCGTGTTCTGTTTTCAGTTTTGGAACCATGAGCTATGACGAATCACCTGGATCCTGGAACACACTGAAGCACGGAACCTGAGAGGTAACGCTTTGAGCCCTGGGAGCCCTGGGAGCCCTGGAGCCCCATGGACCCATCTGCGGGCCTTTGACCCCCGGCCTCTTTTTCATGAGGTTTTAGGGGGTTAGGGGAGGACTCCAAACAACCCCGTGAAACCCCTGACCTACGGGTGGGTTTTTGGGTCTCATCTCTGGCCTGCACGGCAGACTGCACCTCCGCGAGCTGCAGGTTCTGACCTGAGCAACAAGGGCGAGATGAGCCCTGGAACGTGTCCGTTTGTTGAGGGTGCTGCTTGTGGGTTGAATTCAAAGGGAACCAAATGGAAAACCGAAGCCGTTTATGTTGGGGGGGTTGGATTAAAACCAAAGGGAAAACCGAAGCCGTTTATTTGGGGGGGTTGGATTACAACTAAAACCATTTTGGTGCCCCAGAAAAAGACACACCCACTGCGAGGGGCAAGGTCAAGCCTCCTCCCAGAAACATGAAAACTCACAAGGGGTCCTGGTTTGGACCTAGTGTTCCTTCAAAAGGGAGCCTGTGATGGGTTCCATTGCGTGGACACGATACATCAAAAGGCGGAGCTAGAGAGGGAATTCCGGGAGTCAAGGCATCCCGGCCTCCTACGAAAAGTAAAACGTCGGGGATACCAAGTGCCAGAGTGCAAAAGGGGCGACTCTTCTGCTCGCTGGCTAAGCTCGAGGAAACATGTGAGCACTTCTGGGATCAAAGCCCCAGTTACTAGTTGGATTGGTTGTTTTGATACATATTGGTATATAGTTATTTTGTGGTTTTTGTAAAATATGGTTGTGTCTTGCGATATTAACGGCACTCTGTATTAATTCTTAGTTCAGCTGAAAGCTGTAGGGGTTCTAATTTCTATTGAAGCAGGGAAAGTGATTTGAGAGCTTGATGGCTTGTTGTTAGGGGGCGTGCAGTTTGGGGCGTTGGTGTAGGTGTCGTTTGGGCTGGGTTCTTGAAACACGATTGTGTGATACTGTTGGACCTCGTCTTATGCACGTAAGTACTAAGTACGTACGCCCGTATGCATACATGCAAGCGCATGCATCATGCATGCAGGTTGTTGTTGCCACTACGCATGAAAGTTTGACTGCAGGACCTCAATGACGAGCCTAGATTGCATGCCCAAAGTGCCCTATGCATTGTTGCAGCGCGACATGTCATGCAAGTTGCTCTCAAAGTCGCCAGCCGAGCGGCACACCAGCTGGGTGACCTTAAAGGTGATGCCCGCTTTCTCTGTCGTGACGTCCTCCAAAGAGAACTTCAAACTGTCCAGCCACTGCGCCAAGGGATCCTCTGCCACAGCGACTGACGCTGCTGCAAGCAAAAGGCAGCGAATCATCCCCATGCCTTTGGCACTTGGCGAAAGCTGGCCAGCACAATAGGATAAAAGGCGCGCCTGTCAGACACAACGGCCGTTGCGATTTGAGCCACAGTGTCACAGCAACTCATTGATCACTTGCTCTTGCTGCGCAATTTGAACCTTGTGGCGCAACCTGCCACACAGTATCCCTGCTTTCTACACATCTCTGTCTCTGTGTGGAAAGGGGATCAAGGCTGCTAATCACTGATGGGCTTCATAAGCCTGGGTTGCATACTTCCGACAAACAGGAAGACATCAGCTAGCTCAGCAACTATGGTACCAGCTGTAGACACAGCAGAATGCACGCAAAAAAAAAAACAGTTGCACAAAGCGGCTCCAAGTTTGGCCATCCTAGAAACAGCCAAAGCGCGCTGTTCCCACAGCCGCATTTTGGAAAGCAGCCTCAACGGCCCCTAGACATGTTTGCAAAGGCGCCGAGAAGTCAAGCCGGTGGAATCACGGTGCATCAACGCTGGTGAACCCAGTGCATCAGAATAGCCTAACCATCCGCCGCGAGACTCAGCCAAATAGGACCAAAAACAAAAAATGGCAGCTCAGAGTCGCAACCCAGAGGCGAAGCGACAACAAGGCCCTCAGCCACATCCAGCATTACCCATTCTCTGATAGTTCAAACAAATCGCCTGCACAACGGCCAACCCTACCCCGAGTGCATGACAATCCGTTGAAGGTTTCCCCTGAAAAAGGTCCAAGTACTGGGTTTCCACCTCAAACGTTGCAATCTTTAGGCATGTTCCGCCACTCTTGGAGCTGAGAGGGGGGAACACCTGAACCAAATGCTCCGCCCACCTGCACCCTGCACAGTTCAAGTGGCACATGCTTCGCAGGTTCGGGGCGACGTGCTGAGCTTGACGGATCACGGCCACCAGGTCGCAAATGCCATTCCTAGGATTGATAGGGACCCCAGAAGCCGCCCCAAAGAACCGAGTCGAGTTGGCCTGGTTCCGCGCCGAGGTCCAACTCGAACCGGTTTGGGTGGCTTTCGGGGGGATGGTCTGCGAATAGGGGCTTGCAGCCGCGCATGCTCACAGGATCTGACCTGTGACCACACTGAAGGCCTCCAACTCGGTATGCGCCGGGCAAAATTTACCCAGGCCATGCCGTGGCTCCTTTCTTGTTTTTTTTCCCCCGAGACCCTTTTCAGGGATTGACAATGAGCAGAACGAAACGCAAAAGCAGGCGCCCTCCCTTGTCTCATTTGTGCCGAAGCATCAGCAGCTGCTCATTCTGCACGTAGCGGGATCCTACTTCCCAGCTCTCCTCCCAATCCTTGGCTGCACGGAAAGGGGGGAAGCTTGGCTTTGGATGGCTAGGCCACTGAGGGCCAACACCTTCAACACGCAAACCACCGCAAAATAAAGGTTTTGGGGTGTATGTTGGCTGCCAATGGCCAGAAGCGTGATGCTGCTGTCACAAGGGCATTGTGCTCACTGATTGCTCCAATGGTCTGGCACGTCGTGACTCAGCGATTCAGCCCGGAACCACCAATGCCAATCCAAAATCAAACCTATCCAATGGAGCATCCCACAAGTTGTGAGAAACAATTGAAACTTGATTGGTTATGATGGTTGAAGCATTATAATGTTAGACCTCCTTTATTAATAGCACCCTCTATTGTGGAAATACTTTTTCTAATTCAGAATCGCTGGACTGTTTTTTTGCCCGACTTGTTTGCCGAGTGTTTTGCCCATATTTTTCCCAGCGTTGTTTCCGGCAAAAAACTTTCCACAATAGAGAACCCCTAAAACAGGCAACCAAATCCTGGCAAACATTGGAGAATTGTTTTCTTGAAGTGGTCCCCAAACCATCAAATTTAAGATAACTTCTTTACACAAAAGTGCGGGCAGACGGTCACACAAAGGGGGGTGGGGGTGCCCACAAGAGGCCCAGATCCTCTTTAATGCGATTGTTTTGGGGTCCTCTTTAGTGTCCAGCTTGTTTCGGGGTTGCTGAAAACTGAAAACCAAAGCCTCAGCCTTTTACTCTTAAAGAAGGGGACCCATCCTAAGCTCTCCCCAGCTCAAAAGTTAAAGGCCTGAGATCTAGGAAATCGATTTTGCAAGTTGTTCCGAAACCATCAAATTTAAGATAACTTTTTTACACAAAAGTGCGGGCAAACAGTCGCACAAAGGGGCCCGCAAGAGGCCCAAATCCTCTTTAATGCGACTGTTTTGGGGTCCTCTTTAGTGTCCAACTGGTTTTGGGGGTTGTTGAAAAAACGGCCCTTGGCAATACTAAAGTAGAATTGGCAGTACTAAAGTAAGCACTGGGGATCTGAGAGTCAGCCTTGGCAATACTAAAGCAAGCACTGGGGATCTGAGAGTCAGCCTTGGCAATGAGAGTCCCGCCGACGGGTTCCACTGTAAGGGGGGGGTTCACACTAAAGAGAGTCCAACATTAGCCAATCAAGTTTCAAGCTTCTCTTGCGAAAAAACGCGAAATACTCCCCGAACGCAGGCAGATTCTGGCCCCCACCAAAGGAACAAAAGGGTTCACCGTCGTGAACAAATCCTTGCCCCGAAGGCCCATTGATGTAGCCGACCGGCCCGTCAGTCACGCCAAGGTTCCACCAACCTAGTCACAAGGCCAGCGTTGTTGCAGAGGTGAGGGTCCACTCGCTCCAGGCCTAGGCCGCGACGAGCCACGCCGGCCTTTGTGCAGAACACATAACCCCCGCCTACGAAGTTGGGGGGCGACAAACAAACAACCCAAACAAACAAACAACCCAAACAAACAAACAAACAAACAAACAAACAAACAAACAAACAAGACAACAAGTAAGCAAGTAAGCAAGCTTACTAGCAAACAAACAAACAAACAAACAAACAGCGCAACACCAAACAACAACAATCGTTCTGTGTCAAATCCGCCCTACCTGGCGAACCCCAGCTATTCAGCAAGAGGGACGAAATTGAATCACCTTCAAAACAAAAAAGTCACTGTAATGAATCCCCTCCCTTGCTTCCCGTGCTGCATCTCAGTAAGCACCACACGCATCAGCCAAGAAACAGCTGAAACCCGGCAAGAGTTGCTCTGAAACTGCAGATTAATTCCATGATAATAACCTGGCAAAAAGGTAGCCCGCATGCGCGCCGTGCCTGGCAATTGGACAAGACATGTTATCCCATGGAACGTGCCCGTCGCTTAAAGATCAAAAATGGGAGTGACCAGGTCTAAACTAGCACGGCCCCACTTCTGCACCACTGCCAAATTCAAACGCAGCACTGTCCAATTCAAACTCTGCCGAACTTGAAAAGATAGAACTGCCTAACTAAGCAGTACGGCTGCAGCCGCCCAACTACAAAAAACAACCCCGCCCAAACCCCTGTCAGGCTAACTTGCGGAATGTTGCCCACTTCGTTGACCTCCAAGATGCGGGAAGGGTGGGGTTCACCCATCGGGGATGGCGTTGTTTCAAACTTCATGCCTGCGGTGACCCCTTGACACACGCAGCATGACAGCGCACTTCAGCCGCCTGCAGCCAGCGTAAAACACTGCCGCAACACAACTCCCAATCATCCGTAGGCTCTCGCAAACGAAGGCTTTGCAGGACCTCCCCAAGAAATGCACATGCTCACCCCAAATTCCGGCACGCCTACGAACTTTGAGCTTTGAGTTGCCAAGCCGGAAGAAAGCCTAAGCTGCATCTGCGACAAGTTAAGATTCTAGCTGCTTTGGCGCGGGCCCAGGCTTGGACAAGGACCGCGACACAGATCACCAGAGACAGGGCGGCACCAGGCTTAGGCGTTTGTTTGCCCACCGCGAGCTTGGCTAAAGTTGCTAAGGCGCGAAGCCTGCCGAGACGCGCGCTGTGCGGCATGAAAGCTCCACACACCCGTGGCTTGGCGCGAGCCAACGGCGCAAAAGCGACCAAAGCCCCCATGGGCGCGCGCAACCCAGCAGAGATGAGGCTTCACGCGGGGCTGTGCACTAAAGAGTACGCACGCTTGGCGCACCATGTGACGCAGTAGCTGTAGCTTCTGTCATGCGTGTGGCATTGACGCTTCGTCATTGCAATCCTACGTATGGCCAGACGAGATTATCCTGCGTGGCCAGAGCGAGGTGCTGAAAGTGCCATAGAAATTGGCTGGTAGAAGGCGCAAAGATTGGAATCCTGGGAAGCCAAAATCAAAACAAAGAGGAAAACAGAACAAGTTCCAGGTACATAAAGGTGCTCGCAGTTCCTGAATGTAGGGGCTACACAGCCGCCGCTCCATCCACATTAAACCCTCCCCCTATGAACACACGCACCAGCTCTTTGGGGGGGTATGCCCAAAAGTGGTTGGGACAGCCACATCCATAGGGAGAGTGCCGCTGAGTTTGCGCCACAGCTGGTCAACTGCGTTTTCTGTGTCCCGCAAAAAGTTGGTGCACTTGGCACCCTATGCTTCCCGGCACTTGCCAATCTCGCGGAGGTAAAGGCGCATTGCCACAAAGGACCTTGGCCCGGCTTGGATGCTTGAAGTGCCGCATAAAACATCCTTCTGATCAGAAACCATGAGATTCTTCCTCGGAAGTGATGTAAGAAAACCTGCAAACAACCATCAGCTGGAATTGGCTTAGCAAGAAACGTGTAGCCCGTTTTTCTTTCTGACCTCTGGCCAACAAGCTTGCGCCGCAATTTTGCTCCCAAGTCTACCTTGGGAGTTGCTCAAAGGAGAATTTGCTCGTGTTTTGGTCTACTTCTCCAGGAAGTCTCATGCCATACCGCGACTCTTGCATTGTGGATTGTCTTTACATAGGCCTCCGAAACACAAGAAACCACAAACATGGTGATTTCCCTCCTTCTAGTTTCCCCGTCCAGCGCGTCTACCGCGGAAGCGACCTGAAGGCCAAAGTGTGACATTCTGAAGCTCCAGGGTATATAATGCGCACTCGATATTTGAACTGCGCATCGACAACGACAAACATCAGCCCTTGGAGAGAGACCAAAGGAACATACTTTGTAGGTTGGTTCCCAAGGTTTCAGTTCACAGCATGGTGTAGGCTTGGTGTCCGTGGCAGCTATCCGGTCAGTCCACGATAACTGAT